ACACACACACACACACACACACACACACACACACACACACACACACAAACAAACATCTAAAGCGGAAGCCATTAACACGCAGCAAAACGATATGAAAAGTTAGAAAGTGCTCCTGTGTAGGGATGGAACGATATAGGATTATATCACGGATCACAATACGCACTCACAATAAGTTGATCGTGGTGAATTTCCATTATCGGGACAATCGAGAGTGTCGTCACAAGAGTGACTTGAAAAAGCTGTCGAGCTCGCTGTCATGGCAGAGAAGTGCAAAATAGAGCCTGATTTCAAAATGTACCGGAATAAGCATGTAAGAAAAATCCTCTATCTACACAGGGTGATGTTATGACTTGTGATGCTCTTATTTTAGATTGTTTGTCTTTCACTAAAAAAAGACATGTGTCCTAACTGTGATGCAATGACAACAATAGTTTCTGATGGTAACATGATTCCAGTATGTTGGTTTTGCAGCCATTTTAACCGCTTTAAGCATATTTAGATTTTTGGGATAATATCGTGAATCACCCATTTTTTGGCCAGAATAATCGTGACTTGAATTTTTCATATCGTCCAATGTCTACTCATGTAGCTTTGTACACATCCCACACATTTGTACGGGCATGGCTGAACTGAAATCCCAGAGTATTCTAAAGAAGACATAAAAATAGTCAAAATCTTGTCACAAGGACAGACGTACAAGAAACTCCTTCACATTCACACCCGTGACGGATGACTTCAGTGTTTTCATGAATGCCGCTGGGTGCTAGAAACTAACACAGGAAGGAAGCCGCATTCATGTGGCAGCTTGAGTCAGCGATACAGAGAGGAACTTCTGCCGAGGAGCAGCGACCATCAGCGACTTCCAATCACGTCCGCTAATCACATGGGGTTCAAAATATTCTTTTTATACACTGACGCAGTGTTCCATCTCCACCATTAACAAGACACACATATAAAGCATTCCTTGTTGATGCTGCAGTGCTATTTCTGTGTCCACAATGAAATGTTTGTGAGGTTGCAGAAAAGGGAAAACTGCAGGCTTGTAAAACTGAAGGACAGTGCACAACATTTGTCCACACAACAGCTACAGCTTTGACATTGGGATCATCTGCCCATGTTCATGCTTCTTTCATAAAAGAGATTTTTAAAGAGAAGATGTAAGTCTGCTGAGGAGAGGAACTTTTCACTGTTCACATCCAGGTCCTGCTGTGTATCAACACCCCATCCGAAAGCACTACCTGGGAGGCCTCGCTTGTTGAGTTGTAGAGGAGGAAAATTGAGTGATGAACCTTTCACAAACATGCACAACGATGTCTGCTTTCTAGAAAGATTAAGAAGAAGCCGACAGGCCCGGCATTACCATTAGTGAGAAAATATCGATACGCTTGAGCTTCGCAACATTATGTTTCTTGATATTGTATTGATTTTTTTATTTCACAGTTTACGTGCAGAGACGCGTGGCTCAGACTGCACAGAAAGCAGTGCTATGATGTTGGATGTTACAGGGACTTCCTTAGCAGATGGTGGTGTTAATCCGCCATTTCCCTGTTTACAACCACCATTGATCTAAATCACAAGGACGAGGGAGGGACTTGAGTTTTTTCTGTGGACAGCAAAAATGTAGTAAATGATCTATAAATGCTGCTGTAGACAGGAAACTTTCAATAAGTAACGTTTTCAAATCTATCCAAATTTGTGTGAAAAAAAAAGCCTCCATTTATCTGGTAATTTATAAGTTGTATAGCCCGATAGTTCATTCCCAGGGTTTGTGTAAAAAAAATAAGGAAAAAAATCAATAATAGGGCAGACAGATGTCTGTAATACGGCTGAGATTACACTTGCACGCTTATCAAGATTACAATGTCATTTTGGTATTAAAGGCATCTGCTTAAGCATGAAAACATATGGGCTGTAGGGGATCAAAGGAGGGAAAGCAGGCTGCTTACACTCCATTTTCTGTCCAAAAAATGACAGCTTAGCCTCTTTTATGCACTGAAATAATATCCCAACCAATCATCAAACCCGTCAGCATGAAAACACGGGAGCTTTTTTTTTTTTCAGAGCTCCCACCATTCTGGGTGTGGATGGACGTAAGAAACGCCAAGTCGATGTACCAGTAACCGAGAATGCACTCATGATGACACTCAGCACACTTAAACCACACGAGGGAGGAGAATCTATCGAGATGTCAACATTTGCGGTAAAGCAGTTCCCCTATCTAGCATTCTGGATTGAGGAACACAGACCGAAAAATAACTTAACCTACCACCTACATTCAAAACACATATACCCACCGCCTCCCACGTCACCAACTCTGCTGCCCCCACACTGTGTGTTCCCAGAGAGGATTCAGGCGGAACACACTGATATCTAATCATTATGATTTTAGACCAGGGCTGGACAAGTAGATGCAGCACAGGGCATTCAGTGGAGGACTCCATCTACACAACAAGCTCCTATCCAACACCGACAGGGAGAGCATTTCTTACTGTGTGAGCTTCATCTTCTGCCTCTACAATAAGAGTGAACACACGCTCCAAGCTGCACTTTATGACCCTCATCTTCTTAAATCCCGATGCACGTTATTGTTCGGTGCTGACAGATGGTCGCTGCTAGAAAATTGCATCCTCAACAGCAGTGGGTACGATTACTACACACCAGCCAAGATATTACCGCTTGTTGAAATGAAGGACCGCCAATGTATAAAGTGAAGCAGCCTCAGCAGCTGTTTGCACAAACACACTTCTGGCCCGAACAGTGAGGACTCCAGCTTCCATTTTTGTTTACTTATGCGTTTCTGTATCTTGTGTGTTGTGTAATGTTGTCTGCAGCAGCAGCAAAAGTCTAGTGGCTTTATAAGGGTAAACCACTAACTTTAAAGACAGTTTGGCAAGAGATTTAGTTATTAATAACCTCACCAAAGTCAAAGTTGGCCTAGTTTAACAATAATAGAAAGTTAAGAGAATCAAAATGTTAAAATTGTAAAGATTCGACAAAGGCAGGCAGGATTAGAGCTCTCTGCCTGCAATAACAGATGGGCTGGCTTCCGTCATAAACACTGCTGAGGGCCAATCTGGGAGTCGACCTCCTTCACACAAACAACCAGCCAGGCGTTGGGCCACAACCACAAATAAACACACGCCATCATCAAATGCTTGAATATCGCTCAGGAATATTATTGGTTTCCATAAAGTAGGTGTTTATATGAAGGTTGGACTTGGTTTGTTTTAACTGCTACACGTGGTGTTTCAAAACATCAATATAAAATTGACAATTGTATAAAATATAAAATTTTTGTAAAAATATTATGCTTGTGTTTTCAGTAAAGATGAGGAATCAAAAAAGTGATGTATTGTACCATTTGTGGTAACTGGATTGGGTCAATTTCCTGAATGCTACAAATACAAAAAAATGAACTAAAAATCTGCACGCAGTCACTACATCGACCAACAGATGATGGTTTCACTACGCAGATATACAGCACATTTAAGATTCTTAACCAGCATGCAGGCAGACCTACTGATGAAAGTCACTGAAAAGGAAAATGAGTCAGGAGGAGTATTATTACTGGCGGACGCGGCGCCATCAGATACGTGCTACTGTTTGAAACAGCGAAGGCCTACTTGTGCTGTGTGTCTTGCCTGGCTCATATCCTCACTCTCATGTCTCATAAGAAGAGGCTGCTTGCATGCGCTGGACCTAAATGCTTAAGCAAAGAGCGATCAACACACAAGCTCTATGGCTTCAGCCTCATCAACATCAATATCAGAGAAAAAGCCTGCTGGAACTGGTTCATGTCAGAAACATCTGGTGGCCGGAGGACTTTCAAGAAAATCAATAAGGACCGCTAGTAAATAACACATTTACAAAGATTTCTTCAGAGTGGGCGACGGGCCTAAAATTAGACTCTCCATTTTCCCATTTCAGGCTTCTGCTCGGCCTACCTTCCTTTTCACAAATCTCACTCAAACAGGCGCTGCGGAGTGTGGAAAATAATTATATAACACATAATCAACTATTGGAACTAATCCAAAATGTAGTACATGGACATCTTCAAATCTGTGTCGGCGGACTTATTCCTATCAGCAGACTTTATCCCTGGAGCCTTTCCCAACAACCACAGCAAAGCAAGACATAGGAAACACCTGATGTACGTTTGATGACACCGTGCTAAGATTGTCGTATCACATTATCGTGGATTGCCATACTCACGCCCCATGATCTTCAGCCCACTTTTGAACATGTTGGAAGCTGTATGGTTCCAGTGTGCCAGGACACCAAAAGCCTCGCTCTGCTATTATCCAGGGTCAACCAGCGGGACCATCTGAGATCCTGAGCGCTATGAAGTCGTCATCCTACTGACGGGGGAGTGAACCTTTTCTGGCAGAGTCCTAGTTATTTGGTGAGCTTTGCCCTCTGTTTTTGGAACATGCAGTTCTTTTCTCCTCGGTTTGGTTGGTTGTTGTTTTTTTTTGACAGATGTTGCTCAAGAACTGGACAAGCCTGACGCCTTATCTGAGAAAAAACAACATACTGGCTGCGTAAGGTAAAGAAATAACTTCCAAAAAAAGCAGTGCTGACCCTACAAGAGGACTGCGTTTCAGGTAAATACATTAGTTTGAATAATAACGGGGTATTGTCGCGTTGATCATTGCTTTTGTTTGCTAAGGCTAGTCTCTTGCAAAATGGGCTTAACTCAAACAACTGTAAACCCAAAGTGCTGTGCTCTATCAGTCCAGGCCTAGACCTCACGTCAAACGTCATTTCAAAAGTCAGTATTCAGTCACATGTTGCTAAATGCGCATCACAAGCTCTCAACCCCAATTTGTATTCACTCAACCCGAAATAAACAAATCATTCAATCTTTTCGAGCAACGCATTCTTACCAGCAACGTAATCATCCAATCAGCCATTGTCTATGTGATATAGTTAAGTATGAAGTACCTAATGTGGTAATAGCTACTCAAGTAAGTCTAACCGAGGCTCTAACCATGCTGTAATTAGGCTACCGGCAATCAATGATCTACAGGCTAAAACCCAAAAACTGCTTGCACCACTTTGACATGACCATACTTACACGTTCACTGAAATGTTTTGCCTGTTTGATGGTCACCCGTCTGTAAACAGTGAGAGAGTGCTAGTCAGATGTCTGCCTGCTTATCACGTCTGCTAGCTTAACTACAGATTGCAATGACATGTGGCACAATTGTAGTAGCATGGCCATGGACGTACACCGACTGCGCGATGTTGTCTTTGCGCGTGATTATTTTACCTTCCTGGGGAGGGAAACAGTGAAATCAGCTAATTTGTCCCCTATGACAGTCTAAGACAGGGAGAACAGAAGCAGCCATGTATCATTTAAGACACATGAGACTGTCTTATTTCCAGAACCCCAATCTCAGCCATTTTCAAACTGATGAGAAGAATATATATATCTTAAAATAAGAACAGCATCATCGCATGGACCTCACTGTCTTCCAAGAAAGACGTGCTAGCATTACCCAAATAGTCTGCATCACTTGATAAGTAAAGCATGTCCTGTTTAGCTGGTTTACCTGTTGGTGTAGTGATTTACAGTAAGGTAAACAGAGATAGGGAAGGAGAGGAAGCAGCTCCTACCTCCTGCTACATAAACGCATCAGATGGTGAAGGGAAGAAAAAAAAGCTGCCGGTGGTCCTACCGGTTTCCAGCGAGATTAAAAAAGAAAAAGAAAAAAACGCCTGCTCGGGGCTGAAGTCCTGTTCGGATGCGCTCCCTGAATGAACTGGCCCAGGAGGAGGAGGAGGAGGAGGAGGAGGAGGAGGAGGGGGGATACAGTGGGTGGAGGACGAGGGCATCCAGGCCGGTATTCCAGAGATGTGATATACAGTCGCAAACCCGTCTTGCAGAAGCAGCGTTCGGCCGTACAGGTGTACAGCCCGGCTCTAATGGATCAGAGCTGGAGGAGGAAGAAGAGGCGAGAGCCCTGCTGCTGGAGGATGCGGCCAGCATTTAGTCCTTTGTGCGTTGTGTCAGCAAGGATTACCACCGAGGAGGAGGAGGAGGAGAGGAGAGGGAAGAGGATAGCCAGGGACAGCAGCTGCCCGACCAGCACTGCATTCAGGTCGACGTACCCTTGCTCTCGCAATAAAAAAAAACAGGCCAGTGGGCTTTGCTCCGCGTAGGACTCCTCTGATGCTATATTCCGAGACAAAGGATGCGAGCGGCAGTGGCACACATGTGAAGCCGACACACTGTGTTTACTGATTCAGTATGTACAAACACATGCGCATCGAGCTCCACACAAGGATCTGCTGCCAATGAGCAGACAAGCAGAGGACAGAGGGGAGGGGGAGGGGGGAGGGGCAATATGTTTCGGGGGGGGGGGTCTGTGTGTTGTTATTTTTTTGGTGCGAGTGTGTGCGTATGCGTGTGCTCGGGGAAAAGAAAAGGGGTGGGGCTGAAGGAGATTTTGATGAATGGGCACCTGCCACGATCCTCATTTTTAGTCGCAAACTGGCTTGTGCAACCGCTGCTGGGGAGCTCGCAATACCAGCCCAGAGTCTCCTGCAGGCTCACACAGGAAAAAGGGATGTGTATGTATGTGTGTGTGCGTGCGTGCGTGCGTGCGTGCGTGCGTGCGTGCGTGCGTGTGTGTGTATGATTGCGCATGTTTCCCCGTGCTCTCCTCGCCTTGAACAATACTCTTTAATGTGTCCACAGCTGTGAGAGACCTCGCCAATATGGCTCCAAGAACCAGCCAAAAACAGCATTCTGTTGATTCTGGCGCGCGCACACACACACACACACACACACACACACACACACACACTACAGTTGCTATTGCCAGGACATAAGCAGCCAATGAATGACCGGGGGGCTTAGGAAGCGGTCGAGACATGGGCTTATAATGAAGTTTATTACACCACTCTCCCATCTTGTAAACAAAGCTGCTGCTGTCTGTGTAATAGGCTTGTCGGTCCACATCACACAAAAGGGGGCATTCATTCTTTCATACAGCTCCTCTTCAAATAGACGGTGACACACACACATGACGGCAGTCATCAGACCGGAAACACTGTTGAAATTTTGGTGTCAGCCTAGGAAACACACAAGGCTTAGACACTGGGATATATAGCGGCAAGGTGTGTCTGATCAGCCAATCATTCTGGTAACCAAACATTGCTTGGAACCTCTAGTAAATTACAAGAGTCCAGGAGACAGGAAACATGTTTGGGACTGCAAAAGCCGAGTCAAATACTGCTTGCGCAAGCCATCATTACTGCTCAGGCTACCAACTCTGCCTTGTGAATTCAAACCTGACTATCACCATGACAGCATGTCACCCTATTCCGCCCTTATAACATTAAACCAACCTGGACTTGCCGCTTCAACGCTAGGTATTCCTACGAGATCCTATCATCTAACACACGGCCACCAAACAGTCTCACGGAGATCAAACTGGATGACTCTAGAGGTGCTGACTTTCTCAAGGAAACCTGTCATCTTTGTAACTATTACAGGACTGGCTTGTGGCCAGAGGGCTGTTGGTCTTAAGCCTCCGCAGTCCAGCTGGGACGATCCTGTTAGGGAAACAGTAAACAAGCCGCATTCTCTCTTACTGGTGCATGTATGGCCCATGACAGGGATACACACATCAACGTCGAAGAGGGAAGCGTGGGGATCGGAAAAAGTGCAGCAGACCGTGAGACAATCACCACCCACGCATCTTCCGAGCCGGACCAGCCGGCCCAAACGCCACCGAAAGCGGAGTCGACCACCCGAGGAGGAGAGGGAGGAGAGCGGCTAGGACCAAAGGTTACTCCACTACCCAGCCCACTCCAGGCTAATGTCCGGTCACAGGAAACTGAGATAGATGGACTTCAGGCTACTTGCTCCATCGTGTCATCCCAGATCAAGCTGCACTTGACTTGACCTTAAACAACAGCTGAATTTTTGCGATTTAAGAGATCAGAGGAGGATCACATATCATAAAAAACATCCATACGCAAGTTATGCGTTTGTGTTCGTTAAACCAGAGCATGGACCAAAATGCGTCCCGTGAGGAGCTACTGGCAGCTACCAGTGTGGTCTAGTTAGCTACGGGTGTGGTCTAGTTAGCTACGGGTGTGGTTTAGTTAGCTACCGGTGTGGTTTAGTTAGCGACGTGTGTGGTTTAGTTAGCTACGGCTGTGGTTTAGCTAGCTACGGCTGTGGTTTAGCTAGCTACGGCTGTGGTTTAGCTAGCTACGGCTGTGGTTTAGTTAGCTACGGGTGTGGTTTAGTTAGATACGGGTGTGGTTTAGTTAGCTACAGCTGTGGTTTAGTTAGCTACGGGTGTGCTTTAGTTGTGTGCGAGACGACATCGAGAGGAGACTGCTTGTTCAAAACAACTTAGGCGGATCCTGCGGAGGTTAGCGTAGACGCTGCGATAGCATCCGTTATATCAGAACTGGAGAATATTTCTTCATTGAAAGGAGAGGTTTTCGCTCTTCTCCCCACTCGCTTTGGCAAGTGCCTGCCCTTTTCCAAACAGTGACGGCTTTCTCAGATGGTTCTGTGTAACAAATCATCTGGCGGGTCAGGGTAGCACTTGCCAGGCGGACCACAGGACAGAGCACAGGATTCTGTGTTGATGAACAACGTTTTCTTGAGTTTTTGATGATGAGATGCCATGTTGTCTGTCCTGATGCAAATTCAAAAAATGCACTACAAGAACGCACTACTGTTTTTGTTTTGTCATGTTTTCCTTGTGTAGCAAATGGGATACAGCTGCATTTATTTGTGAAAGCCTTTGTTGCATAATGACAAATATTTATCCCTGAATCCCACAACTTGAGTCACCTAAGCAAAGCTCAGGGTGGCTGATACAGATATAATTTGATTTTTATAATGTGATATCAATACTGATTATTGTAATATGGTGCCTTTTCTGGAAATTAAAATCAAAACCATAAGCACAGTGTCATCTAGTAGAGATAGAATGGACATGAGGGGGTGATTTACTGATGATTATTATGATTATTATTATTATTATTATTATTATTATTATATTACAAAAGCATGCACATCCAGACGATAAATACTAGACAGAAGAACATATAAAAGACAGAAGGAATAATGTGCACACTAGATTATGCACCTGAATGTTTTGTGTCACACAAGTGCGTCAAGACGACGACCTTGAAACAGTTTCAGAGGCTCTCTCCTCAAAGAAGAACTTCATTCCACTGGAAAGCGAACGGCACAACTGCACAAAACGATCAAATTTAAAGCCGGTGGCTAATTGGCACAAATTCTGCTTTCTGCAACCTCAGTGAATAAATAGTGGTTTTGGTCGGCGGCTAAGCTTAACGGTTACTGTGAAAACTGTCACTCTATTGTGGTGACAGCTACTGTCAAGCTCCACTTAGGAATACCATGCCAGTCTGTCAGCCAGGAATGGCTTTTTTATTTTTATTTTTCTCTTTATTTAATTCAAATAAAGTATGCCCTATACACAGAGTCTGGAAGAATTCAGTAAAAGTGATCTGCCTTTCAGTCTTAAACTGCCGAAACAAAACATGTGCAGAGACAAATGCATGCATACAGAATGTATCTATTCAGAGACCAAGCACTAAAATACACACAGACAAAAAACAGGCCCCATACCACTGAATGCTAGTTTGGCATGATAAGTCCCATCCTAACGTTAGCCCAAGTGTTTAAAACTCTTACCTTGACAATTCCCACCCAACAGTTTCCCCATTTCTTCTCAATCACAATCAACTGATCACTACTTGTGTCTCTAGCAATGTCCGTGATATAAGCCAGTGAGCGCTCCACGCTTGATTATTGTGATTTGGTTTTTGGGGGGAGCCAAACAGGGATAAAGAAACAGCAGATGAGTGAAACTTTGCTTCCAAGTAGGTGTGGCTGAGAGCAATGCTGACTATGTCCAGCTGCAGCTCCAGTGTGGCAGCTGCTGCAGCTTCATCACTACCAAATGACCAGCAAGAAGAAAGCAGTAAAGGGTTAGGTCTTGTGTAACAGCTACATACTGTCATAGTCATCACACATCAGTTCAGCAGGTTGCCAATAGATAGTGCTCATATGGTTGATTTAATTGATTTGGAAAGTGTGCTCCTTATACCTCTGCTTTTTTTTTTTGCTTAGCTTAAACCAGTTAACAACAACTGTTCCTACCATGTGACACAATGTAAAGTACAGACTGACAAATTGACAGGTACAGTAAACCAGCCATGACACCCCACTAGTCAGCTAGTTAGTTTACTAGTCAACTCAAAGCCCAGAGACACTGTCCGTCCTCTAATGAGGAGACGTCAAACCAAACGTCGTGCAAAATGTGCCCGTTTTCATTACTCCGGTTACTTTGAGAGGCACTTAAAGAGGGCAGCTTTGTAAACAATTGTTGACGCAAACATAAGACATATAACCAGCAGCATGTCTTCTCATAGCTCAGGTGTCCGTTTCTAAAATTAACAGGCAGCGCTAAAACTCAGCTCAAGCAGCTTCCTATCGCCCCTTGAAGTATAACGCCTTTTTGAATCAGATGTTTGTTTTGACAGGCAAATTATCTGGACGTTTCATATATTCAAAGACGTGAAGCGCTGAAAATGTTTCATCATAGAGTAATATGTTGTAACATATAACGATACTCGGAATAACAATAACATGGCAATGTGAGGACGGTGGGATTATGCGTACTAACGTTCCTAGCTTGTCTAACGTTGACGCTAGCTAGCTAACTCATGTTTGGCCATCATTTATTGGTATGAAAACAACTTCTAGCTACTTACCGGGTCTTTGTCAACAATGTTTACTTTGAGGTCAAGTATGATTCCATGTCGCTGTCCACCACCAACGCTGAGAGGGCTGGTTTTAGGACAAATAAGTGTTATATTGGAAGGTTTTGCAGCACACAGCCATGACAGCACGCCCATGCATTACGTCACTACAAATGCTGCCTTCACGTGCTCCTCGTAATAAACACAACAACTCCTGAATTCAAGGTTTGGTTTGATTTCAACTAACCGGCTCAGAAAGAAAACAACCTCAGGTAGACGTGCTTACTGCTTTGCTGCATTTCTCTTTATTGGTTGAACAAAGATTGCTGTAGAGTTAAATAGAAGTGGGTTATTGTGTTGCTTATGCATCAGTGCAATACAAACACGAAATGGGAGCGTTTTCTTCCTGAGAATATTTTCAAAATATGTCCATAACATGACTTTAATACTGCTATAGTGGCCTTCCTTCTACTCCTCCCTGCTGATGACTGCTCTCATCTGTACGGTTCACTCCTCAGTCTGCAGCACACTCAGATTCAGAAGCCTACAAACAGAGGCAGCAATAGGAATTATTACAGTAATAAAAGATAAAAAAACAACCACTGTATATCTCCCACAAAACAGTTGCTTAACACACTGGACTCCATATGGATAGGATATAACTTGTATAACTCTATAAGAATATAGTAGGGTATACGTTTTAACTTGGCATTGTGCAAATGTCTAAAACAACAATCTACAAAGATCATTTTAAATTAAGTGAAATCGAACAAAAGGGCAAACACATGTCCAACAATTGCCCAATCATCACTTATAATTAGGTCTTTGTCGGGCCCCTTGTGGCCCCGGGGACAGTCGGACATATTGACTCATGCCTCAGACCTGATATAAGTCCTTCTCTCTCTCATTTCTCAAATTATACATTGTCTGCAAGGAGTCACGGGGTTAAACCACTAAACGACTCAATTTCATAACAGCCATAGCAGTAATTTAATTTCCGATATGATCATAATCATATTATATATTCATATTCTGAAACACAGACAAAGGCTGATGTGAACTTCTTTATTAGAATTTTAACGAGCTATTAACAACATGGGAGTGGCCATTCTTAATTTCCACTTCATTTCCCCCGGGTGTCTTGGGGCTGTGGGCGGAAACTTGAGCAGCCACAGACAACCCATACGATGCAGCGAGGAGCAGTTGGTTATTAAAACGAAGCTCGGGGTGAGCCTCTCAATGACACCCTGTGGAAGTGTTTTGGGTTTAAATGTACTCAAACACTAACTAATGGGAACATGTTTTCTGAAAGCAGTCATAGCAGACATAAACAATAATAGGCTGTTTGTTACAGGAGACTAACAAAACAAAAACAGGTTAAGAACAGATTAAATGCTCTAATGAAAAGTTGTGGTATATAGCCTGATAAAATGAATACAAATGACACAGAATGTACAAAATAATTAGACCTACCAGCTAAACTAATAGTTCTGACCCCACACATAAGCCATTTAACAGAATGTACACAGAGCCTGTGAATGTTTGTGGTATGTTGGCTTAATGTTGTCCAATACTGCCCCCTGCTGACAAATACCGGGCTTCACAAATCCAGAGTGTTTTGTAAATGTGCCCTTTTTAGATGCAGATTGTGACTTTATTCTTTTCAATGACATAATGTACTCGTTATGGGCGACTTCCTCTATATTCTATTCAATTACTTGAGTTATGTTCGTATCAAATGAAACAAGTATACAGTACGTCTTTGATTTAAAACAGACTCAGGTTACCTGTCAAGTCACAGGGATTGTGCCACAAAGAAATAAAATCATATTCCTGTGGCGTTTAATATTCGTCTCTTTGCAGATTAAATATTTTGTCTGCTACCAGGAAGTGTCGATATAAGTTGTTTCAACACAAAAGGAAATAATGTAGAACTTTTCATGTAGAAACACTGACAGTATTACATAACCTGCTGCTGACAAATAGTCAAACTTTGTATTTAATTGCCACATTCTGAATGGAATCGAGGTACTGCTTTATCTCTTTATGTACGCTGTTGCATCGCATATAAAACCTAGTCTGATTTTTTTTCCATATTTTGAAATCTGTTTACTTCCATCTTCTTACCATGTAAACAAAAAAATATTTGAATACTATTCATTAATTTATCATTAAACCAATACTTATCAAACTGCACTCAAAGGGAACTTTGATCCAAAATGAACACATGGGACATCAGCATCAGTGAGTTTTATTACAATCAAATGAAATACTATTTGGCTCTCCAAAGGGAAAAAAACAAAACAATTTAAGAGCATGTACCATGCAGAGAGTACAACGTTGAGAATATCAGATTAGGGGCTTATTAATGTTTTCACGTATCAGTGTTGTGCCTTGGGGAACAACAAATATGGCAACTGTAAGTTTATTATCCGATGAAAGTGTTGCCTATCTCTACAAAATGACACCAACATATCAAAACGTTACAGCAGGCTTAATACTGAAAAATACCCCAGATTATGCCGTCAGTGTCACAGAGGTGGACCTAAACTAAATCTCTGTTTAACATATAAATATGACAATAAATTAAAGCCAGCGAAAGCCCTCAAAGAGCTTTGTACAAATACAAAGCGGTACATAAACTATTCTGCATTAAAACAAGAAAATGAGGAATTCTCAAATCCTATTAATCACAGTGACGGCAAGCTTCCAGGGGGGGCCAGAATGATCCCGAACACGTAGAAAAGTCCCATGAGGAGGTTGAGCTTGGCCGTCTTCTGGGGGATCTTGGCATAGCATCGGCTGCGGAACAGCTTCTCCAAAGGGAAGGCCATGGGCAGCGTGAGCAGAGGCAGCGCCATGCTGATGGTGTACCGGGTGGCGAGGATGCAGAAGAGCACGTAGGGGACGAAAAGCAGCAGGTTGTAGAGGACGTAGGACAGCGTGGGGCCTATCAGGATGGCCAGGGTGACGATGCCCGCCTGCTTGTCAGAGTCCATGTCTCTGGTGTTGTTGCTGTGGAGGATGGCCTCCGTGTTGAGGGCCAGCGGCACGGCGTACACCAGCGGCAGCACCGACAGATAGCCGACCTGCACCGCGTGGGAAAACATGACCGCCAGCGGGCCGAAGGTGATGAGGATCACCACGTCTCCCAGGGCCACATACTTGAGGCCGATGCCTGGGGGGAAACACAGTTCACAGAGGGCCTCTTTAAGGTGCTGAGTGTGTGTGTGTAATTAATAGTATGCAAGCAACTTAGTTAAAAAAATGATCAAAATCAATGCTGCAGAGACTGTGGTACCCTTAATTGTAGTCCTTGGTCCTTTTTAAACGAAATCCTTTACATCCCATAATGAATTAAATATTTTTTCATTCTGCTTGGTAAATGCAGTCTGTCAAACTCCCCCCTCCCTCCCAGGTTGGAATTTGTAGTCTAAAAGCCCAAACTGAGATAACCCGGATTACATAATCAGCGTTATTTACTCAGACTGGACAACACTCCTCCAGAGAACAGTTTTCACAGGATGAGCAGCACTCACCATGAGGAGTCAAACTGACCTCTACATGTGTGTCGGTGACAGTAGAGTCCTATCTATTATTATTATTTACTTTTAACATTTTTAGGTTAAAAAAAAAAAAAAACACACCAAAACAATAATTGCCCCAAATCTGAAATTGAGGTTTGCATCCAATCATTACAACAAACTGCAAGATGTATGACATCGTGATGGACTTTGTGCATAGTTGTACACGTTTCCAGTCTAGAGAGTGAGAAAGCAACAGTCATTCAGAAACACACTCCGCTTCATGAAGAAATGTAACACATCGGTGTCGTGTTGGAAAAATACACCAACTGCCTTAAAAGGGCCGTTTCACCCAAAATACAGGCGACTGTGGCTCAGTTGGTGATTAAACATGAGGGGAACAGCTGATGCTGACAAAGGCATCTGCCAAATGTAGAGTAATAACATTTTCTCAATTATAGGGCTCGGAGACAATTCAATATGATAATATATCGTCTTTCAATGGAATCATATCCTGATGAAATCACAAAAATATCGTGATGAATATTAATGTAGTCTAAATTGATTATTAAAAAGTACATACTGACTAAAATTTCTCAGAAAATGTATGGGAATACCCCAGTGTAGTTAAATCAAACTATTGTGTTTGTGTGTATATATATATATATATATATATATATATATATATATATAGTTAATATTGTTAATATTTCACTCACCTCCAGTGTATAAAAAAGAGCTGGACAGTCCCCCGAAGTAAATGAGGGCTAGGTGCTCCAGTCTAAGGGTAGACAGGAAGTAGAGCAGAGTGGCACACAAGCACCCCAAAGAATACAACAGCGCTCCGAACATAACGACGTCCTGCGGAGCCAAGATTTCATCCACTAGAGTCCTGTCGTCGCTCTTCTTGTGGTCAATTCCTTTGGAGAAGTCATAGTAGGTGTTCACAAGGTTTCCCGCCCCGTGGACCATCAGGACGGTCACCGCGCACACCATCAGGATGACCAAGTCCACAGAACCCCCCAGTTTGTACGCCAAGGCGCTGCCGAGGGCCACCGGCGTGAGCGAGGCGCTGAAGCTCCACGGCCTCAGTGCGAGCACGTAGGCCGCACACTTGAGCCTCACGTCTGAAGCGACGCGGGCCATCCTCGACATGTGGCTCGTGCCTGGAGGATGATGGGCCATGTTACTCAGGCCAGTCTGCCATTCTTGGCCATTGTGACCATTTGATCCAGCCAGTACAAAAGTTTCCACCCTGCTTTGTTTCTGCTCTTTGGCCATTCTTCTGCAAAAGGGGGTCGGACTGTACCAGCAATGTTTCCAAATGTCAAGAGTCTGGGGTTCCTGTAGCAGTGAAAACAGACAAAGTTACAAGTCTAGATAGGTATTGTACCGGTTCTATAATAAAGGGCTGAGTAACACATTTCAGAACTCTGAGGTCTAAAGAAATGTGTAGCAGCACCGTGTAAGCACAAACATCAATTATTATTGTAGGTTGGCATGATCAATTGGTGAGATTGTAAAGATTTCCTGATATTTAAGTCAAGACTATGGACTAATATAAATATATATACACTATATTTTGTATTTTAATGCATCCCTCTAGAGCGTTCTGAAGTAAACAAATGCATTGATGAGTTCGTTAAATTATAACAGGGCTGCATGAAGTCTAAATTTCCCACACTAAAGTTGCAATAACGATATTGTGCCACACCCAACTCTTTTTCCATATGTTAGCAATTTATTGTTGCCTTCCTTACAGATCACAGTATAATTTATATGTTCATCAAGTTTAATTAAGCATTCACTTTTACATAATCCGACAATTTAAGACGTTTTCCATATGTTACATTTTTACGTCGTACATTTAGTTTTAAGTAGGAGCATTAATTGCATGATAAATATTGTTGCAGCAGATCTGTAAGAGACCAAAGCAGGCCCATTGGGTAGAGGGTCTGGTATTAGCTATCTGCTGTGTAATAAAGTGAGCCACGTTACAGTAACGTTAGTTGCTAATTGTTTGGCTTGCCAACACACGTGGCATTTCGTTTAAAACCACCCACACTCAGATACTGGAGAGACTTTGTTACTACCAAACACGCTTGCGTCTTCGATAAAGACACCGTGTCCAGGAGGGGCAAACAACCTCGGGCTAACTCCTGAGATTATGGGATTAAAGCTAACCGGTCAGCCACGGAGCTAATGTCTCTCTGCAGGGACAGAGGGGAGGAAATGTCTGACAGCGGCTCTCACCTGTTATGTCTTCACCGTCCGACACAAACTGGCTTTCTCTCCACTTGCAAACATATTTCTGTGCCCACTGACCCCGATACGGCGAGAGACAGTTACATGTCTAATGCGTCAACTTCGAAGGTACTTGACTGGTTGGCAACTATAAACCGTTCTACACCTGATGGCCGCCATTTCCTCCGCGAGTTGTGCAACTTCGTACAGGGGTCGAAGAAACAGCTTCTCGTACAATGGTTCCGACTAGCATTTTATTCCTACAAACAATTACAAATACAAAATGTATATATATATTTAGTTTATAGAGAGGAGTTAAATACTAAACATAAATGAATTATAAAGGTTATTCCTCAGATTATTAACAATAAGGACTTGCTGTAATTTGTACAGAGTCAAATAAAATAAAAAAAGTAAAGTACATACTTTACATGCACATGCACATGCACTGTGTTCACATGAATTTGCTGGAGGAAAAATCCTGTGATAGAAGAGGTATATTATTTTTAACCATGAGTTACAATGTTGTGTTCACAGAGTTTAAACAAATCCAGGTCAACCCTTGAAGCTAACATGTACATGGATTTTAGAACAAAGACTGCAGCAATACGCATTGGCTTTAAAACATGTTAACTAACACCCCTTCATCATTTATGCTGAAGTTGAGGGTCGCTGGAATTTTGACTCACATGTAGGAAAAGCACAGGTGGAAGTAATATTGTCAAAGACATATCTATTCCGCTTACGTGTCCCATAAACCAAGCCAATGAGCCAAATTGCACAACCACTATAACTGTAAGCACCAGTTGTGTTAGATCCCAGAGGCCTGATTTGATCTTGTATTCTTAATCATGGGATTAAAAAGGGAAACTCAAACTCACGGTGTTCTCCCCTGTCTGCCCTGAAAGTGTCTGTGCATGATACAAAATTGGGATAAGGAGAAGCCTCAACTACTGTTTTTTACCCCAGCAGCATTACATAAATCTCAGAAAAACTTGTTCAAAATAAGCCATCTGATTCTGCTTCCACGGAGCTCCAACGAGTGGTTTGATGGGCAGAGCGCGTTTGGTTTTCATTAGATCGTCTCGACGCTGAACCAATGCCCCATCTACAGTAATATGAAACCAGAGCTCTGGCAGACGTACTGTGCGGAAGAGAGCCGAACAGATGCAGTCTGCACCGCTTTTACTACCCGGTCCGCAGGTTTAACTGCGCTGCCGCACACAGCACCAGAAGCTACCCACGTAGTAACAACACACTGCCGGACGGTGCAATGGCCAAGGAGTAATGTTCGCGGGCACAGATGATAAACCTGCGTAGTCTTCTCTGAAGGATTATTTGTTTTCCCCCTGGAGGTGTGATATCGCAGCCATGGCGTGCTGTCAGACTCCCAGAAGTTTGCGAAGAGGCGAATGGGGCTTCGCTCCTCTGCTGGCTGCCGCGCTTCTCAGTATTCTGGTCGCAGGGATGCAACAAACCACCGCGTTTCCTTCCTGGAGGTTAGAGGTATGCTGTGACCACTTCATGATATGTAAGAACTGCGACTGTGAGGTCCAATATAGTGTCTAGTTTGTAATTTTCTAATTATATAAGTAAGTTGTGTCCTTAATCATTTTTTAAAAAACGCAACCCTAAACTCCATCAAAATTCTGTGACTTAGCATTTGCCATACGTTTCTGTGAAGCTATATACTAAGAATGGTGTTGCTTGACCTTATTTTATTGTTTTTTTTATTTTATTGAGTATTGTTATTACACGAGGCAGAACTTATTTTAAACAGTGTAGGCTAACTCATTTTTCTAAGTAGCCTCAATGATTAAACACCTACTCACTGTCTTGCAACAATACAGTAGTAGCCTAGGTGTGAAGCAATTATAATGAAATAAAGTGATACTTAATGGATACCCCATTTCCCCAAAAGTACATAAAGATTGTGTACATTTGACAGTGAGTAAAATAAAATTCTAATATTCAGGTCTTCAGCAGATAACGACGGGTATCAGGATGAGGTCCGAGAACAGAATCAATGATTTTTCAAATGATTTTTTTAGCCGCATCATTCACACTATTTTCTTTAACAGTTATTATGCAGAAGTTCTGCATAATAACTGTCCATGTAATTAAAACGTATAATTAGTTGGACATCATCACGTGAAATCACTCAGTTACAGCCCAGTGCATTTCAGACTTAATTAATGTTCGGTTATAAAGGCACACACGTTGGATGAAAACCATAATTAGATTAGGCAATGGAATGGATCCCTGTACAGTAAAAGGGTCAGTCAATTGGATAAATGTGTTCCTGCAGACTGCCTCCCACCCACTGTGATACAGAGCCTGATGGATCGCTTTATGTCATTTCCTTTGCCACACACTCTCATAATGTGTCAATCAAGAAGACTGCTGCTGAGGATTACATAACTGCCTAGCTTCTACCAGAATGAATTGCAGCATAAGTTAAATAGTTATGAGAGTCCAAATTGATCGCTTAGTTCATAAAGTTAGGTCAAAAATGCAGTCAAAGAGCATTTGGACGTGTTTTCTTTTATGTATACTGAAATACAATACACTATTTCTATCATTTAAAATCTAGAGATGTATCAGAAATGCATGAAAACACAATATTTTTCTATATTACGATATCCCATTAATTATCACTGTCAATGTTGACAATCAATTTGTGTATAACTGTAATCTGTGACAGATTCAGAACGTTTGAATTTGTTGAATTATAAACAGGAAATAGCCTTTGTTTCTCTGAAGGATGCAAATCATAATTCCTGTCTTACGGATTGAGGTTAAACTCTTCCAGACTCTCCCCCCAGGATCCTTTGGGATCCGTCCTCAGATCTTTTGCCCTCAGAGTCTGCGCTCACCGCTGGCTTCAAGGTTTAGCCTAGAGAGTTTGTTTCGGCCCTCGTGGTTTATGGTTCATCTCTATTTGTGCCAAAGTCTGACATTAGATTTGCACTGAAAACAACGAGACGCAACACTGAAAGAACTGCACTGGCCTCGCTACATTAAACACTTCATAAATCACAGGACGCAAGCCTCTGGTGTGTTAGGGTAAGGCCAGGAAAGCAACTGTTGTTTAAAACAATGACCAGTACGTATAATGCAATACAGAAACATCAAATTGAATGTGTGAGCAAGAGAGGCTATCAAGTTCAGCAGCAGTGTGGGACAGTCTGCCAGACTGCCTGCCCCCACGTTTCACTAGGAAATGAAGGAAGTACTGCTTCCATTTGTCTTGACTGGGCGAAGCAGGAACAGGAACCAGAGCATAAGGAGTAGAATGCAAAGTGAAGGGAGTGTCTGGGATGTTTTTGCTCTCCATCTTCAGTACTTTTCCCAAGTAAGACAACATGCACTGGAGCGTTTGTTGCATACGTCTACCGGTTGTGATCAAAGGCAGATTTTCCTTGCTACATGTATATACCGTATATGAATTATGCTTGGATTCTGAAGAAGTCAAATTATGAAAGATTGATAAAAAGTCACCAAAATTTGTATGATTTTGTGGAGCAGAATTATGTTTTTCTTGCTCATTTAATGCCACTGCGGTGATTTTCCTCCCAGTGTATTAATCATAGTATGGTATTATCGTATACACCATAAAGGCCTCGGTATGCTTTAAACTAACCAGATATTATTAGGTGTCGTCTGACCATGTTCACAGCTGTCATGGAGACGTTGTGCAACGCGATGAATCACACAGATGGGGACATTTGACAACCGCACATCCTTTCTGTTAGTGTTGCACACGGTTGTTGATTGAAAGCGATGGCAGTCAGGGGCGGCCTGGGCATGGGGAGGTTTGGGAGGTCCGATTCCACTCCAGTTCACCTGGGCTTGTCTGGCCGGTCTTGCTTTGATTCAGTGCAGTGGTGACGTGCTTATACGAACTGACGAGGCAGGTGTTGGTGAGACATCCTAAAGCGTCTTGAAAGGTCCTCAACATCCTCAGATTCTCTTAATACCACAACAACTGTATTAGTATCACAATCACTGCCAAAAAAATGTTTGGCTCACACTCTCTGACCGCTCACATAAAAGGCCTCTGCATCTTAAAGTCCCAGAACTTCAGTCCCAGTACGTCCCTAATGGCAGTAGTTTGTGTGAGAGAAGAGAAGAGAAGCTTGAAACGGACTACTTTCACACCTCCACACACTTGGCCAAACGCTGTGTAAAGTGAGCGTTTTTGTTTGGTCGTCTGCTTTGAAAGAACTTCAGATTCCAAAAGGTAGTTTCCGACGCTGTTAGACAATCGAACAACAAGTCAATTTGAAGCATATTGAGGCCTTTACACTTCTCATTGCAACCCGTTTGTGGTTGGCATGCCCTCTTTTTATCCCCTCACATCTCACTCCGGATTTCCGCTTGTCAGTCTGCAAAGCACATAGTTATGGTTGAAGTATGGAGTGGCCCATTGTAACTAAATCAAGATTTTGTGGTATATGAGCAGTGGTATGTAGCTTCAGCAGTTTTTCAGTATCAATGCGTGTCCCCTTAAATCCCTCTTAAATGTATCAGTGAGGACAGGAAGTCTTCCTGCTCTCAAGCACAGAATGGGCTCCTTGGGTCAGAGTGACTTCAAGTGTTGGAAAGTGGATTTATTACTTAGCTTTCTCCTCGAAAAGTGATAGATTTGATCAACTGATGTGATCGCTATTATGGAATATCGCAGCCAAGGAAAACTACAGCTTCAGTCACAGAATATTAATGAAAGCAATAAAATGCAAAGTACACATGGACGGCCTTTCAAAGCTATAAAAATATTGTAGAGTCCAGGCGTGATGATTTGGAATAGACATTGTCCATCTTCAAAGGGACATCAGACACAGCTTATCTGTGAAAAGCCTCATTCTTTATGCTTGGAAAGCACTTGAACTGCTGACCACTTCCTGTTTCCATGAGATGGAATGCCCTTGCATGATAAATGTGACGCGTAACATTCAGACGCAAGGCCCTTGAAATAACAGCAACTGAGCGCAGCTGTATCTGTCAAGATCGCAAATGGAGTTCACTTCAGTGCGAGGTGATTAATTAAAGGTTTTTCTTTGTCCAAGGAAGAAGCTTACACCACTGTGTTGCTCATCGGGATCCGCAAAGAGGCCCAGTCACAAGTGCTTCACCTCTCCAGGAACAAGCGCTACACCCTCACCCCGGAGCAGCTCAAATGGGACAAGTTGAAGCTAACATACAAGTATTCCTTTGCACAATTCTTCCTCTAGTCAACACAACAGCAGCTTTTGGTGAACAAACATTTGGACAGTAGACAAGATTAATGTAACTGCTTGAGGAAAACAGTGACTTCATCTCTTTCATATTGACATATATTCAAATTAAAAGTATCCATGTCAGTCTAAGCCTAGCTGAGATACAAGAGAATATCAAGTAATGGAGCTGTACTTGCAGTGCTTGTGGGAATTCAGTCTGAACAGTAGCCATTGTGTTTTGGCAGATCCCCCTTGCTGCAGAAGAATGTGTGTAGAGACCAGTAATAACCACATATCGCTGTTGTTTCTGAGCAGGTTGCTCTCCTTCCCCACAAACCTGATAAATGCCAGCGACACGCGCCGAGGCATCGCCAAGGCTTTTGGCATGTGGAGCGACGTCTCGCCGTTCAGCTTCAGAGAGGTGCCAGCTGACCAAGAAGCAGACATGAAGATCGGTGGGTACTCTGCATGTGGCTGCTTCAATCCTTAACAGATGTTCCTTGGCCCCGAGCTCCAGACTTCTGCTCTGTCGGTACTGTTTTTCTCTCCGCGCTGTCAACGCAGAGATGACTTCGCCTCCAAACCTATTAAATCAAACTGGCCGCGACTATATTACCGAGCTTATATTCGGCATGATTCATAATTCTGAGTGAAAAAAAGAACCGCTTAACCTACATACATGTCAGCCTATGGCGGAGCAGCCCAAATTATGCTTTATCTGTCCCTTTGGGTGCAAAGTCCAGGGTCCTGCATAAATTGTCAGGGACAGTGAGAGGAATGGTTGTCATCCTGCGAGGTGAAGGCTGAAGAAAAAGCTTTCACTTTTGTCATTTATCATCCCCCTGCTGTTGTCTACACAGAGCAGAAATAATGAAGTGAGGGTTTCCCTCCTCGTGTCTGAGGTCTCTCTCTCCGTCTTGGCAGGCTTCTACCCCATCAACCACACCGACTGTCTGCAGTCCTACTTGCACCATTGTTTCGACGGCATCACAGGAGAATTGGCTCATGCGTTCTTCCCGCCAACTGGCGAGATCCACTTTGACGACCACGAATACTGGATTCTGGGAAACATGCGCTTTAGCTGGAAGAAAGGCATGTGTCTTTAAGCATGTTTGTTGAAACTGCAAATATTGAAACCATAAGGGGATGGATGCTGGTCAGCTCGTGGCGTGCAGGGCAACTGAAAGAGAAAACAATCAAACGGTATCTGTGTTGCAGGGGTTTGGCTGACGGATCTCGTCCATGTGGCAACTCATGAAATTGGCCACGTCCTGGGACTCATGCATTCCTTGAACCCGAAGGCTATAATGCACCTGAATTCAACTCTGACAGGGCGCAAGCTAATCACGCAGGATGAAGTGTGGGGCTTGCACCGTCTCTACGGTATGTTGACGATCCTTCTTACCTTTCCACCAGAACACAAATGGGAAAGCTCTTCTTTTGACTTTGACAATTATGAATGCATCTGACGACGTCAGTCATCCAGGACACAGGATGTCTACAAGTAGTAAGTCGAAGGCAAAAGGACTTATTGGGTCTTGAAGACATTTTGCAATTCCTCCCAAAAAGTGAACCACTAAGGCCTCTTAAAGGAATGGAAAATGTCCTCAAGACCTAAAGAAGCAAATCCAGTTCTAATGCTGGGATCAGACTACATAATAGGCCTGATCGCCCGACGAAAAGGGGCTGTGTGTCATAGGGGAAGACAACTGAAACGCCTCACAGCAACTTTCACAACAGGTTCCCTGATGTTGGCTGAAACATGCCAAAGCAAAAGAGGAATGATGCTGTTGATGCTTTCAGGTGGAACAGTGAAGTCGGTGCTTGGCACCACCTTCCTGATCACCTGAACGCCATGAAAGTCATAAAAGACGGCAAGCTACAATTGTCTCTCAGCCTAGTCAGGGCTAGAATTTAAGTGATGGCTTCATCTGACACATCTCCAAAAGGTTAAAGATATTGTGTGGTCTGATCCCAGTGTGAGAAGAATTACGTCTTGAAAAGAAGCAGCTGTACAAAACCTCTAAAAATCCAGTCCAAAATGTTGGCCACAATCGATCAGAACGTAGACCACAGTTTGTCTTTGACGACTAACTCTAATGAATGTTGTATAAACTACTCATGAGTCATCATTAGCGTGTATTAAGATGAGTCATTTTCATTGGAACCAAAAGTAGATCAGAGATCCTAATACTTTTGCTGCCAACTTGTCTGATCCTCTTCCTACTTGCTCCATCTGCCCCTCTCCTCCAGGATGTTTGGACCGCTTATTTATCTGTCCGGCCTGGGCTCGGAAAGGCTATTGCAACAGCAAGCGGAAGCTGATGCAGAAGCACTGCCCCTCCAGCTGTGATTTCTGTTATGGTAAGATGCAGGGGGGGGGGGGGGGGCAGAGAGAAGAGTTTTCTCTCAATTGAGCAGCGCAAGGAGCTGCTGTGAACCGTTTGCCAATGGAGCAATGGGAGCACACAGGTCCAGCCATGCAGAGCGGCGATGAGGGTTTTGAAGAATCAGATTTAAAGGGAGGTAACACTTGCCACTGGAGGAGTTTGTCTGTAGTTCTGGAGAATACCAGCGTCCACAGGGAGGAAATGTGCGTTTTAGCCCAGAACACTGACAGAGCAGAGCAGGTGCAGGTTGATCGATGTCTCCACACCAAGTATTGACAACACACCAGCAGTCTGACAGCCTAAGCCACTTCAGCGTTACTGCGGAGCGCGCTGGTGATCAGGTCTCCTGTTGCACAACAGGAAACGGCTCCTCTTACCCATCGCAGCCCATAGATAGACTTTTGAGGAGTTTTGTCAGCAACAAGGGTCAGCGTGGAGAGAGGAAAAGAGGATATGATTCCTGGCTCGCTGTAATCTGTTCCTCATTGTTGATTGGGAGACGTTGTACGGCTGTGGAAAATTCCTGAGCGACTCCAAACCGTTGGAATTTCAGACTGTGGCTTGAGGGTTAGAGACACACAAGGTCAATTTGGATTTTTGCGGCATTAACGAGAGCGACTGTTTTATAAGCAGACTTTGAGTTGATCACAAGGCAGGCCTGTTGTGTTTGTGTTTGTCATAAACCAGATGGGAGAGATTATACTGGTAGGACAGCCGCGGCGCCGGCAGCTCAGGGGGTTGTGAAAAGCCCATTAAGTGACGCGATGAGGGTCTGTATCCAAAAGGTTCACAATAATCAGAGTTTCAGCGAGGGAAAGTTGGAACGCCTCCAGACTATTAAAGACACAGGTGTAGGATCATCTTTTTTCTTTGTCTTCGTTGCTGTCAGACGATTGTTTCAGTCAGGATCATTTTAAGACCACAAAAGGTCTGATCTTTGTTTGTCTCATATTGGAGCATCAGCTTCAGGTTTAAGTGTTTCCCTTCCAATCCTCTTCAGAATTTCCTTTCCCCACTGTGGCTCCCACCATGACACCCCCGAGGACCAAACACAAGCTGGTCGTCGAGGGCAAGAAGCTCACTTTTCGCTGCGGGAAGAAAATAGCATCGAAGAAAGGCAAAGTATAGTGAGTATCTCTCTCTCTCTTTCTCACAGTCCCGCTAACCGCAGTGGGTTTCACCGAGCGGCATCTAACGTATGACTCCCGTTTCAGCTGGTACAAGGACGGGGAGCTGCTGGAGTTCTCTCACCCCAACTACATCTCCTTGAAAGACGACCACATTACCATCGTGGCCAACGCCATCAACGAAGGCACATACACCTGCGTTGTGAAGAAAAAAGACAAAGTCCTCACGAACTACTCGTGGAGAGTGCGCGTGCGCTTCTGAGGGCCTCCGCACACTGAACGGGACGCATCCACACACGCGGTCACATGGGGACCTCGTTCACAACGGGCACATATTTCTTTTTAGAAAGAAAAAAAAAAAAAAAAAATAACGGTTCTTCCTGTATCTTCCACGTCTAATCGACGATTGTCATTGTGTAAATGCGTGTTAATATGTGCAAATAATAAATGATCCGTGACAAGTAGCACTCTAGTGGAAATACCACCTGACTGTGAAAAGATGTTTATGACAGACGCTGCGGTTTTTCATTTTATTTGGTGATGAAAGATCCGTGCGTTGTTTTTGGACAGTAACGTCTACTCTGGGTTCATAGAGTCTGGATTTGTTCAAAGCTCTTTCTACTGCTCGGGCAGTAATGGTTCAAGGCCACCCAGGGGTTCTTGAGGGGCGCCTACCTAAGATGTGAACTAATTAGATATTACTTCTCATATACAGTGAACACAAAATCTTCCTGGGTAGGACCCTGAGAGAAAGTGTCATCCAAAATACATCCATGAGCCCAAAGTATGTTTGTTTAGGGGTCTGAACAACTTCCAGGAGCCATTGCTTTGATGCATGCCTTTTGGATAATTTACACACTGACCAAATTAAACGACTTAAGCCAGAGGAAGCAATGCCGTCTGCATCCTTTGGAACTATTTGGACCGTAAGCCACACATGGAACACCTCAGACGTCTAGCTTACTTTACTAGCCTCACAGTGAAGCCAACGGTCTGCCTCCAGAGACCGAGCAGTCAGTTCCACTAGCAGCTCATTCCGTCCCAGTTTATTCAACACATCAGGTGTAATAATCTGCATTAGGGCTCCGGTGGGGGGGGGCCGGGGATGTATAAAAGTGATAAATGAACATTTCCATTTTAGCGCCGGCTTTAGACATCCCAAGACGAGGGATTTTCGGTACTATAATGTTTGTTTGTCTTCGGCTGAAAATCAAAAGAATTTATAGCTTTGATTCTGAAGTCGCAGAGCCATTTAAAACCAACAGCAGAGCAAAGTCTGGGCCTCTTTCCCCCTGAAAGAACAAAGTACTGAGACAAAGTGTGCAGTGCAAAGAATGACATCACTTTTGGACAGCGACTACCAAGTTGGGTTCAAGGCTGGATTTTTGTTTTTTTTTAGGCTCGACTTCCCTTCATTTTTCTCTCTCCTCTGGCAGTGTGCGGTTGTGTTTGCATAACTTGGACAGAGTTTATAAATATAGTGAAAACGGTAGACAAAACAAAGTTTCAAACTTTATTTCTTGCAAAAACATCATCCCGCTGCCATCAAGTGACACCGACAGTCCTAAGTAAATTTCGAGCATAATGCTGGATGGAAAACACAGCCAACGCTGCATCATTATACAGTAGCTCAGGCAGCCAGGAAATACCAACCGTTTAGAAAATCTGCTCCTCTCTCATGAAATATAAAAAGGGAAAATAAAACAAAAGTCAAAGATGAGAGCTAAACGTCTAACAGATGTACGGTCGCGTCTCCTCTTAAGAGCTACAATGGACACATTTAAAAATGGTTTGAGAAGCCGAAAAAAGTCGAGCGACAAATTCGGAAGATTCGACATGCTTGAGCCACCAGTCTTTGCTGTGAGACAGTCCTGACTATTTGGTAACAGTTGCAAATGTTCAGATATTTATCTGGTTCATAGCTGTGTACCAGTGACACTGTCCCAACTCCGAAAGAACGAGTCCCAGATCTCTTCGCTCTCGCTTCCTCAGCTGGACAGCCAGGTATCCTGCAGAGTTTTGGGCTCAGAACTTGAGGCTGAATCCTGGACCGACTGCAGACACTCCCTGGTTGCTGGTTGTCAAGTGGAAGCCCGTGTCTTTGAGGTCGTCATCGCCGGCCTGAGGAGATTATGGAAACAAAGTTAACTCACGGTTAATGACCGCAGCCAGTTTCATTACTCTTCTGATGTCCTGCCGTTTCATTTCTTACATATTTATTAGAGAACTGATCAACACAACACTGGTTACCTTTGAAAAAAAAAAAAACCTTAAACTGAATGATTCTGAGACCTATTGATTGTATTCCATACAAGTATGCATTAACATGTTTATAATTCATATTTTTATAGGTATTTTATAGAGTTTTAATGTACCAAAGTTTGTTTTCACAAGCTTTTCCAAAAGAATAAAGCAGAGATAAACAACTTAAAACTTCTGGCATGAAACGGTCTAATTTATTGTGCAAATATTCATCTTATATTGAAACGCATCAGTATCAGCCTGAAGCTTATGGGTGGGTAGGACCACTGCTGAAGAAATTATGGCCTAAAGGGCGCTCATCATGGAAAACACGAGGAGGAAATACCCGGACACAAAGCAGAAGCCTGTAGGTCTGTAATCTATTTAACATGGACGGCGTTCGGAAAGACTGGTAGCCGTGTGTAATGGAGAAAGTGGAGCCTAATGTCCTTACCAGTTGACTGTAGCCCAGTCCTCCCTCGGGTGGACGAGGACTGGTGCCTCTCTTCACCCTCTGTTGCTCACTTTTGGCCGGCCAGGTGGGGAACATGGACGGGTCGATGGGCAGCGGCGTCTCGCGGAAGTACTCGTGCTTGAGCCCCTCGTCCGATAGAATCCTCTTACTGGGGCAGTAGGTGAGGAATCTGGCAAAACAGTGGACGCTCGCGTTACTATGGAGAAGCTAATTTCACTTCAGACACGTTTCAATACAGAAGCACAGGTAGCAGGCAGCTGACATTGTTGTGTGGACTTTTATTCCTTACACAGAAAAGTCTGTGTGTAGCGTAATCATTCAAAACGGTAAAACTTTATTTGTGCCATGTGTAGGAATCCCCACTCTAAAATAGTGTTTTTTTTTTTAGAACATTTAATATCGTCTGTATTAACTAAACTAAGTCTAGACAGACAATCTGGACACACGGTGCCGGTCGGACACGAGGGACCACTGGGTTTGTGCGAGGAGTCCTAATTGGTTATGACAGGATCAACACAGCACAATGGGGAGCTGCTCAATTGTGATAATTGGCCTTCTACAAAAAAGTGCCAGATCGGAATCTTCCCTGTGTGAGTGGGAACACCAGCGTGAAAAGGTTTTACTGAGCACATTGTCTTTGTATTTTATGTGGAAGGAATCTCTGACTCTCGCTTCCTACAGTTTGAAGTAGTAAATAAAGCAAACTCAGGACACCAAAGGCCCCCGTTCCTCAAACACGTACCCACACAGGGAGGTGTGATATTTCAAACCGCACTGTGATGTCTACCTGCCCAACGACACCTCTTAACTTCCTTTCAAACAGCACTCCTCTACGTGTTGACCCCCTGAGGTATGAATCTGTCCCTGTGTAAACGCCTCATGAGTCTTCTGACAGCTGGAGGTTTTGCAGCTGCGCTGGATGCGCGCCAACCTTCCACTGAACCGTGATCCCTCCACGCTGGACACGCTGTTGGCCGTCCACTGCAGCTGTTTGGTAACCGGGCGGTTCGGTTTTCATTTACAGGTGTGGGCAGAAGTCTCTCTGAGTGGGTGAAGGTCTTACAGGAGAGCTGAAAAGCTTGTCTCTGTTCTTTGCTAAACAATGCTGCTCTACGGAATGTGCAAAATAGAATCATGAACCCATTACTCTGTAGCGTGGAGCCTCGCCATGGTGAGTGTGTGCGTGTGGAACGGGACTGTTGTTTAGCCAAGTTGATGAATTACTCGTCCGCTACCGTTGTCATGTTTTAAGGCAGCTTGCCAGAAATGTGCTGACTGACTCATAACAGCTGGAAAGAGTAACAGCACTTGACCGGGCAACAATGGGTTCATCCAAGTGTCCACTGTAGGATTCATTCTGATTGTTCGGGATATGAGTGGTTGATATTTGCTTTTTTATTGATATTGGTCTGCGTTATAACCATAATGGATGGAAAATAACACAATACGCTATTGTGTACTCATCAGGCCGCAAGAGCTGTGGTGGTTAGTCGCCGGACTGACTGCAGTGAAGCGAGGACCCGGTGCAGCGTGTGTGTGTGTGTGTGTGTGTGAGTGAGAGAGAGAGAGGTGCAATGTGGTGTCTTGTGTGTGGAATGAGGCAGCCCTCAAGAATCCTACTTGTTCATGAGGTCAAAGCCTTGATCTGAGAGCAGCGCTCCGAAGCGTTTTCGCAGGTGGTTGTAGGGATACTCTGTGAAAGTCATCTTCTTCACAGCGGGCAGCTCGCCGTAGCCGGGCCAGATCTTCTCGCTGGGTGACCCCAGATCCTGCAGACAACACACACAAGTCAGCAGACGGCATATTGTTAGTGCAAGGAGAGATGGATATGAGATATTTCCACTTTGGCAAGAGTATTCATCGACCACAGACATGGCAATAAACCAGTCCTAAGTGCATTTCAATACTTCAATTCAGAACTGGTAAAGAGTGTAGGATGACTTGGGAGGCCTGAATGACATCAGTCCCCGAGGCCGTCATGCTGTAAGCAGATCATAAGCAGGGCCGGCCCGTTAGCGTCTCCTCCCCTCAGCTGTGTCCTCAGCGTCTAAACTCGTGCGTCTGTGCTGGAGAACCAGAGAGAAAGTCTCTTTGCTTTCTGATCTCAGTTCCTTTGTTGCTCTTCCCTGAATCTCTGCGCCCGGGAGTTTAATTTCACTCCTGCATTCCTGTTTGTACTTTCACATCAGCCTTTTTTTTTTTTTTTTACTGTTTCCTGATTGCTTTCAAAAAGGTGTCAGAGCATTACTGCTGATGCACACAAATCTCCTGCTGTTGCAGCTTCACAATAAAAGTTTTCCACTTGGTAGCAGGCGGGTTGCTTTTATGGTTATAAAGCAGCGCTGCTCTTAAAGAAAAACAGGTCTAATTAACCATACATGGACATATACCGCTCTATTCGGTGGGTTTATATCATTGCAGGGAGGAAAAGTACAAACAGCAACAGCCACAAAGAGCAGAAAATGTCAGAAAATTGTGACACCTCCAATATGTCACCAAGGTAAACAGCTTTACCTTGTTCCAGAGCAGCGTGACTGCTCGCTGCCGTTCACAGCATGGTTCGGAAGGACTCCCTCCCCTACTATAAAAAACAACTCTATATCTTCTCAGTTTGATACGAACTTCATGAGCTGGGTTAACGTCTACCAACAGCTCCACCCTGTGGTGCACTACACGTCTGACCTCCACGCTGACCTCCTCTGCACACTCAAAAGATTTACAGCCTCTAAACCAAAGGGATTTACTTCGTTTTACAAGGGAAAATGAGGGCATTTACCTTAAAAACCTTGTTAATTTGGTCGATTTCAGATTTTCCAGGGAAAAGAGGTTTCTGGGTGAGGAGCTCGCCAAATATGCAGCCCACTGACCACATGTCCACAGCTGTGGAGTACTCCTGTGGAGAGAAGAGCAAACACGGTGGCAGTCCGCAGAAACACAAAGTAGACAGTCTGCCTGGCACGTTTCTACGTTGGAGCCCGACGTGTGTGTGAAAGTGGATTAGCTCTGATGGGTCGTGTTGCAGTGGTATTTGGTATCTTAAAAAACTACACTTCACTTGGAAATACATCTTTTGGTAAACCAAATCAATCAAGATGGCGTAACCGAAGTACATGGCCTTAATATTTGTACTTGTGTGTTTTTACGTGGGAGTAGGGTGAAGGGTAATTCTCACCTTGGCTCCGAGCAGCAGCTCTGGTGATCGGTACCACAGGGTCACCACTACAGGGGTGTAGGGCTTCAGGGGGGAACCGTACTCCCGGGCCAAGCCAAAGTCGCCAATCTACAGTACGGGACAGTGAGCTCACATCAACACCGGTAAAATTCACTTTGGGTAAAAGACCGATGCCTCAGTATGAATAAGATTCATCCATTAGTGTTCATTTCATTTCGGGGTATCACACTACTCAGCCTCCCGGGGAAGGCTTATGCCAGGGTGCTGGAAAGGAGGCTCCGACCGCTTGTCCAACCTCGGATTCAAGAGGAGCAATGCGGATTCCGTCCCAGCCGTGGAACAGTGGACCAGCTCTTTACCCTCGCAAGACTACTGGAGGAGTTCTGGGAGTTTGCCCAACCAGTCTACATGTGCTTTGTGGACTTGGAGAAGGTTTTCGACCGGGTCCCTCGGGGGTTCTTGTGGGGGGTGCTGCGGGAGTATGGGGTGCCGGACCCGTTACAACGGGCGATCCGGTCTCTGTACGACTGCAGTAGGAGCTGTGTCCGCATTCTCGGTAATAAGTCAGACACGTTCCCGGTGGGTGTTGGCCTCCGCCAGGGCTGCCCTTTGTCTCCGGTCCTGTTCGTGACTTTCATGGACAGGATATCTAGGCGCAGCCTGGGGGCGGAGAACGTCAGGTCCGGGGGTCTCGGGATCGCCTCTCTGCTGTTTGCAGATGATGTGGTCCTGTTAGCCTCCTCGGATCGTGACCTCCAGCATTCACTGGGGCGGTTTGCAGCCGAGTGTGAAGCGGCGGGGATGAGAGTTAGCACCTCCAAATCTGAGGCCATGGTTCTCTGCCGGAAACCGGTGGATTGCTCCCTCCGGGTGGGGACGGAGTGCCTACCTCAAGCGAAGGAGTATCTCGGGGTGGCCGGGCTCAGCCTTAGAGATAGGGTAAGGAGCTCAGTCATCAGGAGGGAGCTTGGAGTCGAGTCGCTACTCCTTCGCGTCGAAAGGAGTCAGCTGAGGTGGTTCGGGCATCTAATTAGGATGCCTCCTGGACGCCTCCCACTGGAGGTTTTCCAGGCACGTCAAACTGGGAAGAGACCCAGGGGAAGACCCAGAACACGCTGAAGAGATTACATCTCCCAGCTGTCCTGGGAACGCCTCGGGATCCCCCAGAATGAGCTGGAACATGTTGCCGGTGAGAGGGAGGTCTGGGTCAGCCTGCTTGGCCTGCTGCCACCGCGACCCGACCCCGGATAAGCAGAGGAAAATGGATGGATGGATGGATGGATGTTCATTTCATGATCCTCTGATGTCTCATAGGAGATCAAATGACCATAAACCCTGGTGCATTATGGTACTGCAATGTCTCATTGGATTTGAAAAACTACAAGATGCAGTATGATTCATATTTTCTATTGTCAGCTTCCATAAAACTCAACCTGACAAAAGTCTGTATAAACCTTGTTTATTTACACATGGACTCTCCGTTCATTTTGCCAAAAATTCATGCTCCAATTGACTTACAGTAATCATGAGCAGTTTGTGTAACTGTTGTATTGCTGCTAGCTCGGGAGAAAGATGGATTAAAAGAGGCTTTTTCAAGAGTTTCTGTATAAAATAAAGATGGATTTTGAATTAGAAAATATAAATTTCATTAATGTAAGGGTTAGGCTTTTTTCTTTCCATACATTTTTGGGATATTTAATGAAGTCACATTCTAGGGGTGGAAGACTATTACGGTGCCCTTGAGTGTTTACACCGTCTCAATTTACAGGTGACATACTCCTGATACTCTGACTGGAAATCCATTTTCAGTCATGGCCTGTCACACCAAAGGCAAAACTTGTGTTTGCCATTCGTGTGAAAACGCTTATATTAAATAATCATACTTTCACTTTGAGTTTAACATCAATCTGACACTGCTGGACTAAGAACACCAGTTAGCAGCTACTATAGCAGATAATGGCAACAATTGTGAACTTCCTCATTTATAAATTCAACTCGTCTCAATCACAAAGATCCCTGAAAGTGAAAAAATCTGACAGAGGTTACACCACATTGTTCACACTATCTGCTATGTTCTAAATCTCCTGTAATAAAAATGGGACAACTGTATTCATGAGTGGTACGTAATGGTAGAGTCTGTGAGGGCCCGAGTGAGAACCACAGTGCGATGCTGTACCTTGAGGATACCCTTGTGGCTCAGCAGCAGATTGGATGTCTTTAAGTCGCGATGGAGGATCCAGTTGTCGTGGAGATGTCGGACACCTCGCAGCAGCTGAATCATCAGAGTCTTCACTTCGCCTGAAAGAGAGAGAGGCGTCGCGCTTTAACAGAGCTGCTGTGAGGCAGAGGATTTAAAGCCCGAGCTGTGCACAAAGGAAAACAACATAAAAAGGTAGTGGACCATTTTTTAACCCCACACACAGAAATGGACCCAGAGCTCAACACGGTGTCACTTTACCTGGCAGGAAGGGCTGCTTCATGGTTTCCATCAGACTCTTCAGGTCATGTTCCACGTAGTTCATCACGATGTAGATCTTGTCCATATTACTTCCAACAACTATTTCCTAATATTAGAGTAAAAGCAAAGGTTAGACTTCGCTGCAACACATAACAATAAAAGAGTTAATACCTAAATTAGTAACGTTCGAGTTCTCTCACCCTCACTGTGACGATGTTTGGGTGCTGAGCTTTCAGGATCGTGTTGATTTCTCTTAAAGACGTGATGGGGAAGCCCTCCTTCTCCTTCTCCATCTTCAACCTTTTCAAGGCCACAATTTCATCTGCAAACAGGAGGCAGTATTCATTGTTTCACCAATAAACATGTGTGAGAATGCAGAGAGCGAATGGACCGACGCGGTTTCTTTTCATACCCGTCTTTTTGTCCTTGGCCCTGTACACCACGCCGTAGGTTCCCTCTTCTATCCGGTTCAGGCACTGGAACTCCTCAACACTGCGACAACCCTGAACAAAACAACACACAATGTAATTGAAGACCTCAACATATGTATGACCTGCATTACACGATTACATGTAACATTTGCGTGCATGTTGGTACCGACCTGTAACGCAGGCAGATACTTGGGAAGCTCCTTCTTCAGCTCCACGGGGGAGATTGGAGGGGAATCTGGGATGTAGTTCTCTTCGGGGGTGGGGGAGCGAGAGTGAGTTTGAGAGTGAGGCGTGGGGTCACCCTCTCCTGTGTCGTCGTCATCCTCCTCTTCCTCCTCCTCCTCCTCCTGCTGCTCCTCCTCCTCCTCCATGTCCTCACCGCTCTCCTCGGAGTCGTGATCGAAACGGGACTCCGGCACTGTGAGGCCAAGTGGGAAATCTGTCAAAACTGCAGCAACACGTATAGCATGAAAAATAAACAATTTTATAGGATCTATACTTAGATTGCGCCTTTAAGAACCCTGCAGAGATGAATCCTGGGAAAGCATTTTATTAACTTCCAAAAGAAGAATTATAAATGAACTTCCAAATATTTAGCAGACGAAGCCAAGCTGTAACTATCTCTCCCCACTGCCCACACAACTCTTCCTTCTAAAAAGGTTTCCAGACATAAACTGTTTACATAAAAAGCTTTTAACAACACTCAAAGCAAATAATTACAATTTAGTCGCGCTGCACGTCATGAGAATAACTTTGCAAACATGCCTTTAAAAGGTTCAGTATCATCTTAGAATTAGAAACAGTCCCTTCACAGAAATCACAGGTGACATGTTTACCTACCGGCAGGTATGTGATTCCCATTTTCTCTCTCGTCTTCAAAGTCTTCCGCTGACTGCTCGTCCTCGCTCACGTCCTCTGAAAGGGTGGAAGCCACCGTGTTAAACCCGTGACGCTGTGTAACCGGACCTGACTCAGCAGCATTAGTCAGTTGGTTTTGTTTGACAGTTTTACCTGCACTCTGCTCGGACCGTCCCGAGCCCGAAACAGACTCCCCTTCCTCTTCTTCACCCTCAGTCTGGCTGCTGGACTCCTCTTCATCGTCGTCATCTTCATCATCTGACCCTGATCCTGATCCCGATGCTAGACAAGGTGAATAAGATACAAGAGAAAAAATATTTGGAAGCGATTTAACTAACACTGAAAATGTCCTACAACAGAAGTCAGGCCTTCCCATTTACAATGACAGAGTGATTGGACAACCCGAGTACTGCGACTCCATTCCATAACGGTCATGTATTGTTATAATATAGTTATTATAAGCCTTTACCGATGGAGGATCCTCCTGAGCTGGTCTTCCTCTCGCTGTCACTGATGTCCTGGAGGTCTGCGAGCAGGTCTTTGCCCTCTGGCTTCTCCTCCTTCGACGCTGCTGACAAAACGCAGTGGGAGTTATGCTGAAACTCGGAGGTTTGCAACACACAGATATTGACGATAACTATATTTAAAAAGGAAATATTGATATCATGTTAATACACAAATAATCCTGCGCCATTATGCTTACAGACTCTCTCCACCTGCCAACAATCGTATTTTGTTTAATAAACAAAAGGTTAAGATTAATTTAACTGATAGCATTATTTATTTATTTTTCAAATTTTCTCTAGATATCACGGGAATATTGTTAGAACTAATTAGTTTGGCCACTATAATAATGTAGTAAAAATCTGATATGAAGACAGTGCTAGCTGAAACAGTTGAGCAAAAACATAATAAACTCAAATAAAACATTTTTTAGAAACTGTGAAATTCCAATCAATAAATGTATAAACTCACGTGCACTTTTCCGTGGTTCGCCGAGTTCAGATCTGTCCCGGGGAATGCGTGTGGGACTCCGGCTGTGGCTGTGACTTTGTTTTGGCTTGTCACCGTACTCATCCGGTAGCATCCGATGGTGAGATGGCACTGTGGACAGGAAAGTCTCTTATTCATCAATGCTGCCGTTTAACCTAGCTTAGCATAAAGGCTGACGGTGCTAGCCTGGCTCCATCCGAGATGAAAAGACGTGCCTCTTGTCCAGCGGGGCGTTCATGTTGACTCACTGACCTTCTCGCCGACTGTCTCTCTCTTTGCGTCGCTCCTCGGCCCTCCTCTCCCGCTCCTTCAGCTCGCGTTGCTCTTTCTGCTGTTCGCGCAGCTTTCTGTCGCGCTCGCGCTGGCGCTCCTGCTGTTCCAGGCGGTCCCTGTGGTCCAAAAAAAACCCAGGAGAATCCAATCGGGGTCTGTCCAGACAACCAAAAGCCCAATCTCGTCAATGTTTGTTAATTTTGAGTCTGGGTTGATAAAGCGCATCTTACTCAAACATACAGTTAGTTTGTGGCTGCAGCATTGCTTTGTCATCGTCACAGCTGTACTCAATGATTAATATAATGCAATAACATAACCCAAACTGTTGTTGAGTTCCACTTGAGGCTGCATTGTTTACATAGACTCGACTTAAATTGCTTAAAAAGAAAACATACCTACAATCCTACCACCTGAACGTGAGAGAAAAGTCTAAATAAACTATGTTGATTTTTTTTAAACAGTTGCTGTTGTGTCACTTCAGATACTTTAGTACATCACATTTACAACTAGAGCACAGAAGCTATAGATTTGAAAGAAAAAGACATTTCGATCGATTGTCGATCATGTTGCTCAAAGACCTTAACATACTGGCAAGTTGAATACTTACTCCAACAAAACAGGCATTTAAAAACATGTATGCTGATTGAACTCCAGTGGAAAGCATAAACACTTCTGTGCATTAGATAATCTGATATGTGGTACTTTTCCAGGGCTGCCGCTCACCTTTCTCTGCGTGAATGAGCTCTGGCCTGCTCTCTCCGTTTCTGCCTCTCCCAGTCTCTCCGGGCTTTGTCCTCCTCCCACTGACGCTTCCTGCGTTCGTTCTCTCGCTCTTTTTCTTTGTCTTTGGGTCGTACTTGTTTCCCTGCTGTACAAGTAAAAAGTCATAAGTGGAAGCAGATCCTTAAAAAAAATCCTTAATAAAACATGCTTGTGTTTATGTTATTTAGCAGCACTTCCACACCTCCTTCTGCAGAGGTACTGCGATGGCGTCTTTTGTCTTTTCTCTTCTCCTCCTTTCTGTGGTGAGACTTGTCTTTTCTTGCTATTTGCTGTGGAGGCTTGATAGCCAATGATTCGTCTTCCTCGCCCCTGTAGAAATGTGAAGGAAACATTGTGAGTCTCTAAAGAGTCAGCAGCACTGTGTTGTTGCACATCATTTTTAAACCATGACATACATACTTTGGTGTTTTTTGTTTTGTTGTCATGTTTTTCTTGTGTTGCAAATGGGCTACAACTGCATTTCTTTGTACATCCCTGCGTTGCATAATGACAATAAATGATCCTTGAATCCTTAAGTATTACATGTACACTACTGCCACCATAGAAATACACTCATGTTAGTTTCTTACAGTTGCAAATACCTGTCCTCTGTCGAATCCTCCCGTGCGTACGGGGAATTACGAATTGTTATTTCCATCTTTTGATCCCGTAGTTCTCCTTCCTCCGGAGTATCTCGTTTGGCTTCACGATCATCCGCCTGTGGAACAGGGCCCTGTGTGGACTGTGCAAGACAAGAAGAGCAGAATATGTGGTTAAAGCGTGGGAGGCATTATTAAAATGTCCTCAGCTAATTCAGAGTAATAAATGAGGCATACTACTGGTTTCAATTGTGTTGTGGGATAAAAGACCTAAGAGGGGCTAAAGGTGGGCAATGAGACTGTTTACTTTACTTTTGAAAATAGAAAATAAATACGTGTATATTTTATTTCTTGTAACTGCTTTTTCCTCCAACTGCCCAATAAACACATTTATTAAAAAATGAGAAATAAGAAAGTGAATACAACTACAAGCCTATTTGGAATGTAGCCAACACTATTCAATTTCTTTAAAAAATATATATTGATACATAAAAAATATGCATCATTCCCACTGGAACCGTTTCAATGTGCTGGAAAAAAGCTTCTGAAACAGCATCTAGAGAATGGATTATCCAACTCTTATATAAACGCACTCAATAATAATGAAGATAAACACATATTTATAGATATTATACCATTACCAAGAATAAAATCTATATGTAGTAATTTATTACACAATTGCCATTTCCAATCATTTCTTTTTAAACTTACCATGGTAGGTTTTAATGGAAAATTCTACAACAAATAAAAATGAGGCTAGGATTAGACACTTAACACTTTATCAACGTGTAGGGGTCACATGGGCTTTACATTAAATGTGGGATACTTTACATTTTTCTGGCGCTTGGGATCTGTTTTCTCTTCTAATTCTCTTCTGCGTTTTTTCTCCTGTAGAATTTCGTCAAGAGTTTTTACTTTCCAGGTCTCCTTTTCGTCCCCCATCAGCGTCCACTCTCCACCGCCTGCTCCACATCACACACACACACACACAAAGGATACATGTGTTTATTAGATGTCATTTCAGTTCAGCTTGGACCAATACAGTTGTAATAGAGACATGACAGAGAAGCGTCCCACTGTTACTCCCTTGGCCAATACAGGAACAATTAAAACTTTGCGGATTTAAGGTAAGATGTGAGATTTTGAGGCATCGTTGGAAATCAGCAGTTGTTAAATAACCACATAGTGACATTAAGGACTTCAAATAAAAGTTGACATTTGTTGCAATGGTTTTAATCCAACGTTAACTCTATTACTGGTTATTCGCCTGTTGTTCCCCGGGCTGTCCGACCACAATGCATTGCGCGGACCAATTCCAAACACTTCTATTGCAAACGTAAAGCTGGTCATGCTTACGACATATACATGTGTGAATAATTATGATACCATTATTTAGACACAAGTTTAGCACGAGGCATTCCGTTATTTATGTTAAGCTAAAGTGTACTAGCTAAAGGTTGCAGCACACCAGTTAGCTAGCAGGTAGCCAACGTCAACAGGCCAGATGTCAGGACACGTAGCTACATAACGTCAGCCCGCTAGTTCAGAGTTATGGCTGAATAAAGTCATGATTGATTTACAAAAAGGTACCATTAAGGTCGCACATTCAGCGAAATGGAAGATGAGTTAATTCCTTATAACGTTAAACCCGCTGAGTGAGTCCAGCGGTTGGTGCCAGCACATTAGCTAGTCGACGTTAGCTAGGTCAAACTAGCATGGTCGACTGTTGCTAAACAACTTCTGGAGCTAATTACGTGTTTTTAAAGGGAGTAGATAGTACAGCTGGTAGAGCTGTAAACTAAAGAACCTATGACTCTGTCCGTAGCTGTACTTAAAGGCCTGAGTACATAGAATTATGATATTAACCAGCGAGCAGGTGAAATGGTTAAACAAACCTGATGTATGCGCAGCGGTATTATGGCACACCGGAAGTCTTGAGGCCTGAGTAACGTCTGTAAAACGTCCGACGTGAAACAATGGCCAAATCCCAATGTCCCCCCTAAACCCTCAAACCCTGAACCCTCAAGGACTTACTGACGTCACCTGGTGAGTGTGAGAGACTGTGAGGGCTTGAGATGGTGTAAATAGGAACGGGACAGCACTTTGCTGCAACATATCACGTTACCATGAAAACGACAACAAATATGATGTATAATTGTAGGTATTTATTTTATATTTTGCACTCCCTGATTTGAAAGTATTCCAGGCTCTTTCCTCACAAGATGATAGATAATTTTATATAATCTATTTACTCGTTTTTGTCAAAACAGCTTCAATGACAAAATCAAATATTTGATGAATAAATAAATAAATAGCTTCTGATTTCATGTTTATTTTTTGTTCCATTTTGAACTCTTGATGTTTCTGAGTAAATTTAAGAAGACAGGCTGAACACACATGAGCCGTTTTCTTTGTTTACCTTTTTTTTTAACCTCTCCATGCGTCCACTGGTTACCCTGTGTTTAATGTCACATTGCAATGATTTGTGGGTAATTCCCTTAGGCTAAGTCAGCATACCATGCTGACTTACGGAAAGGGTTCATAAAGGGCTCAAAATGTCCGTGAGTCCGTAAGGGGGACATTGGGATTTAGCCAATGACTTCGTTCAATGTAATATAATTATATATGATATGATGTAACATAACAATATGTTTTAATATATAAAAATCAGTTTTTCTGCAGTCTATAATAAAAACATAAAGCAAAGGTATCCTTGTGATACTGTGATGTGTACTTTCCACTTTGTTTTAAAGAACAGTTTGTTGTGGATTAAGAAAAAATCTCTTCATCAAATTTATGGGTGTTATTGAGGGATAGTTCAAGATAACATTGCTCCTTGTCAGCTTCATATACTGTATATGATTAAAGGAACTTCCAAGGCCTCTTCTGTGGCTTTGAAGACTCAAATTGTTCAAGGAAAGATCGTAAACCTTCTTTTGTCACGTAATTAAATAGTTTTATAGAAATACAAAAACATTGCTAACTCAAAAATGTTTTAATTTCCTAATGCCTGTGAATGAATTCACAAATGGCAGCACTACATATTTTTTGTATGTATTCCAGCATATTCTGAATCCCATTACAAAGTGATATTATATTCACCCAAAACACATTTTCATATAGGGGAGGGAGTATAATAAAAATCTACAACACAAAGGTGTTTTTGCATTGCAGTCTATTACATGATGTGATGAAACCGGAGATAAACAAACCACACAGAACATACATTGCCCTTTATCACTGAGAAAGAGTCAGATAAGAAAAGCTGGAGTGCAACCAATGGATTTATGACAGGTTGACCCCAGTGAACACATTAACCATGACCAAGGTCTCATACCAACCATGGCTTCCTCATTCTCAGTCGTGGCTTTAAAAGGGAACAGCAAAGCTTTCCTGGCAGGTTGACTGTTTCCGACTCATACAGGTGAGCCCTAATTAAGTGTATTTGAATGTAGGGATGTAATGGGATTAGTTATTTGGGTGACAAACATCAAATCATTGTTTTTGAGTCTGATTATTTCAGTCATGTGGTCTGATTTAGCTCCGGACTGATTAAACGCTGTGAATACTTGTCTGACATGATACATTGACACCTAAAGTAATTTAGAATGTCATATTGTGTAAAACATGTTTATATTTTATTTAAAGCCAATTGTGCAATGCATGCAGATTTTTTATGGTCTTTTGACAACAGTTGACAGCAATTGACAGCAATTGACAGCAGTAAGTTACCTTTGATTCTCATCATTACTACACATAATGATACCATATTCAATTCAACATTTTCTGTCCATGTATACTCAAAAGACCTTAATGGACAGTTTGTGTGTCCAGGCTGAGCAGTGACACGTTGAGTGACCGGTTGATTCCAGGCAGCAGATAAACCTCTGAGGAGAGGAAGGACTTCCGTCATGGACTCCAACAGTGCCGGCAGCGTGCAATATGATCGCTGGAACGAGAACAACATCAACATGAATGTAGAGGCAACGCAGTCTGCTGGGATGAGGTGAGACAAAAAGACGGCAACCATCAAACAGAACATTTTCATATTGTTGAGGATTTTCTGATGCTACTGAAGAAGAAACCTATAGAGACATAGGAAGATGTAGATGATAAAACCATATACTGGGACATGAATGGACTCAACTAATGTATATGTTTGACAGGGTTAAAAAATATGAATCTCAAGTCACAAAATACAAAATGAGCTTTTAAACCTGACACCGTTTGTATGCTAAATAAGAAATTAAGCTTTATAAAATATTCATAGTCAGAATAAAGTGACAATGTGGTGAAACCAGGTCATGAAATAACGTTAGAATGAACACAGTTGACCTGACTCTTTCTCTGTCTCGCTCTCTGTTACATTCACAGGATCTACAACAGAGTGTGTCATGGCAGCTTGGGAGTCGCAGTGAAGGCAGCAGGAGCTTTGGCTGCACTGGTGTCCGTTTACATCATAGGATACGTGACAGGATACTACGTCCACAAGTGCTCATGATGGAGACTGTCAGAAGAGACAAGAGCTCGGACATTTTGAATGAATGTTTAGTAAATATGAATCACTAAAAAGGGTCTCATCATCATCATCTCTGTCCTTTCTTAGCCTCTTTGTCATCAGAGCCCTGATTTTCTATTTCAATATCTGAGTGTCCAGAGCAGAGGTCTCTTTGTTGCTTTTCTTCACAGAGACTTGCATCATGTTAAACCCTGACTGCCATCACCACGCATTGGCTTTAGGATCACTAGTGTGATTATTCTTTTGTCTCATTAGAGCGCTCACTGCTGTAGGGGTCAATGTTGCAGCTGGTTGAGCATTAAAAGTCCTTTTAATTATGATGATCTGCAAGGAACGATTTTCCGTTTCAGTAGCCATTCAGCAGCCAACATACAACTTCAAAGTCTTTTGTGTCTTTAAGTATTAATGCAATGCATGATATTAATCCTTCAGCTAAAACTCTGTTTGGTTACCAGTTTATAAAACAGCATTACAAACAGAAATCCTGACTTCATTAACAGGAAATCTTGAGCTTAACACTTAATATGGAAACCAGTTTTTACAACAAAAAGAACAAAACAATTGATTTTGACTTGTTGAAATGCATTTGCTCTGCAATGAAAAATCACTCCTGCATTTAAAATAAACACCATACCACTTCATTTCACAGTCTGTGTATTATTTACATTTCCTTTGCAAACAAAAAGTTAACATTTTAAGTCACGTCTAAGAGTTTGTTGTTTGGCTCGTGGCCTTCATCTGGGTCTTCCTACAACATATTACAGAGAACATTTAATATGATTTTTCAAATAAGACTTTTGAACCAACAAAGTGTGGTCCTGGTCATCAAAGGATAGGTTCAAGGATAGATCTCTTCATAACAGGCTCCCACTGGATCTAAATCCAGAGTCCTCGACTTGTGCAAAAATGCATTCCAAAGTTTATCTGAAGATAAAATGAGTCACGAGTCGGAGTTAGACATATCCTCCAATGTTGAAATCTCTTCAATGCCAAATTCCATCTTTTTGTTACATGTCCATCTTCCACCGCGGCTCAATGGTAAAACGCTGTCTGTGGAAATACAAACAAGATATTTCATTCAAAAAAGGCTGTACATTTGGAAGATATCGGCTTGATTTGATTCACTCAGACTGCTAAAGCTTCAATTAAACATTAGATTTTTTTGTAGCATCAAACAAAGATTTTGAGTTACACTGGACGAGCAAGAGAAAGGGACTTTTTTTAATGGCTGCTTTGGAAACAAGGACTGAATTCATTGTACATACGGGCACCTGACTATTGTTTTAGGACAGACTTGAGCAATCAGAGCGTCGATGACACATTTACAGGTCTGCAGGCTGGTTCAACTCGTGACCTACAAAAACAAATCTTGAGTCCTCTGTGCAGTGCAATTGGCTGGTAATGTAAACATTTATATTATGGCATATGTATAACCAAATACTTAGATCATACCATAAAGCAGAAAAAACTCAGACTATAAGAGAATGTGACGCATAAGAACAGCTGACATAAACATCAGTTGGGTAATTAAGTTAATTTCTTTTTTTGTCATATCAGCTCCACTATATCTGCTCCAATTCCCTGTTACAGGGTTTGATTCCTCTGTTATCAGAAGACACAAATTTGATAATGAGAAAGCAAATATAACTCCGGTAGCAATAAAACAACATTTATGTGTGTAACCAGTACCGGCCTAGTCAGCCAATGTACAGAGTCCAGTAAATAAAAAATATGCACTTTGTTGCCAGTCACTTTTTATTTTTCTTACAATACCATATAAACCAAATATGTGTATGATGCTACAGAAGGTCTACCTTACTTCATTAGATCCTTGAGAAGTGAACAGATTCATTCATTCAACCTGCACTGACACTGTGTTGTTTGAAATAAATCTGAAGGACACATCAGCGGTGGTCCAACAAACCCACACCGCCCCCATGTGTCCAAACTGAGGGCACAAAACTGAGGGAATGCTTGATGAAACAATGTTAATTTGACCTGACTTTTTAAAAGGAGATTTACAGTCACAAAATCATAACTGCAGTGTGTCGTTCGTTAATATGCTCACATTTACACATGAGGTTTGTCTTTTTCCAAAAATATTGCCATTTTATTGTTTTTCATAAAACGTAACCTGTATTAGGGAGCATAATTCAATATCAAAATGAAATAATTTAATCTGCTCGATTTTAATTTTGTAATTTTCTATTCGTGTGAATGTAATGTATGACAAAAAAAATTAAATTTTAAAAAGGAAATGCAACAGTATTGTAGTTTAGAATCCGTCTGTCACATCTAAAAGTTAGAATAGCAAAGGTATCTGGGAGGATGGGCTATAACATGAAAGGCTACTATGAATAATCTAACGATGCATTATAATTATAGAAATAAGCAGACATGCAAAACTTTTTTTTCAAACTATAATTATTTTACTCTTTTATACTGTTACGCAACCAATTTATTTCGATATTCACGTTTGTCTTTTCGAAATAGGGACGAGGGCCGCAGCCAATAAGGAATCAGTCGCTGGTTTAAACATAGTTCACATATCACATGTTCAGAGCCAACAATAAAAGGCATCTTTTACTTTTTCTTACAAAATAACGTCACAAAATTTGTTCTTTGTTGACTTGCCACTTTTGGCCCCACTCCTAACCAGCTGTGCAGAGGGGGGTATCAGGCGGTAAACCCGTCAGTGTGATGTCAAAGACGGTCGAGAGGCGGGTCTGAAGCGGCCCAGGACGTCCAGCTCCAGCGTGCCTGAGCAACATGAAACATGGATGAGGAGGTCGCCGAAAGTTGGGAGGAAGCTGCTGATAGTGGGGTAAATAACGAATGGCACAATATACCATAAACTATAGGTGAATATTGTATCGGTAGCGTCTTTATATGTGCAGGGTTACTTTTAGAAGTTATCATAACGAACCACCAATGTGGCTAAAGCTAGCGTTAGCTTTAAGAAACTTGGCGAGCTAACGTCAAGTAACGCTAGCTAGCTAGCTCGCGAGCGAGACGGGCTTAACGTGGAGTTAGCCAACTAACGCTAACGAGCCAAAGTGAATGAAGCGAATGAAATAACGTCAATGTGCCTGATTATTAGCCAACGGCGACAAGGTAACGAACCAGTTGTAGTAACATGATGCGAGCTAAACCCACGAAATAAGACTTCCCTGTTGAAATGCTTAGGTTGACGTTAGCTAATGCTAAGCTAGCGATTTATTTCATGGCTAACGTGAACAATTTATTTGTTCACTGTTGGTTTACGTTTTGGCAAATGTACAAACACTTAACAAGTCTCACGGCGCTTCCACGACACACTCTCGTCTGACATTAAATTCGGCATCATTTTAAAACGTTAATATTAAACATTGATTCACGAACCGAACCATTCTGTGATCGAAGACTAGCAGCGTTGTGAACGGTTTAGTAGGTCGACATTTTACCGTGAAAGTCGAGATAAGTAACTTTGCAAAATGTGCACGACAGCGGTTAGGCTACCGTTAGATTGTTTTCATTTGGCACATTTTAATGGAGCCTGGCTTATATTCTACATACTACTGTAAAGTGTCAGCTTGGTGTTAACTTGGTGATTTCCTGTACCAAGTTGCTGTGGGGCAATCATTTCGGCCATGTTGCCAACTAACTTGCCGGGGACGAGCTAGTTTTGACGCCACACTTGCTATTTGGTAACATTTAGCTAAAATTAGCTATCGTCGATGTAGTTTTGTCAGACTGTTGCTAGCTCGTGACGCCAAGAACGTGGCTCTAAGAAACGAGTGTGAACGTCAGGCGCTCGTCAGTTTGAAGTTACAGATTTAAAAAAAACATCTTCATGTTGTAAGTCCGTATAAAATGCTCCTCATCAAACCTTAAATTAACACTTTTTGCCGGCTACATCATCCGGCTAATGTCGCTATATGAGCACTTTCTGTTACACCTTGGCAGCTGTGCTACACATTATAAATAGCTTGTAACTGAATCCTGCTTTCCAGCCACTCTCAGACTTGCTTACTAACCTACTTGCCGCACTTTTCTCTCTACCCAAAACCAGTCGGACCATGTTTGTTTCTTTTCATGAATACATGTCTGCGCTATGTCTCACTCAACAGGAAATGGAAAGACGGCTAGAAGAGAAGCTAAGGATCAGCCAGAAAGAAAAGTAAGGCATTTAAAGGTAGAAGAAACGTGGCCCAAATATGTGACACTTTTTTTAAATGATTGCATCCATTTCCATTCAAAACTATGCTGTTTTGTTCAAAAATACACACCTGGACAAAATACTTTTGTTTTACCAGTGACTTAAAGCCACTCTCCATCTTACCATACAGGTGATCTACCTAGAGCCAATGTGTTTTTTTAGGGAAGCACAATCCACTTAAATTATTACAGTAATTATTTCATTCATTGATAAATTTTTCAAGTGACCTCAATGGTAGTGTGTATCCTAATAATTAAGACAATAATATTTCAAATTTTCTTCAGAAATGCTGTACCGTGTATGTATTTGGATTTCTGTCGCAAGTCTTTTGGCCATCGAAGCCTCCCTCGGTTCACCGGTCTCTTCCTGTCTGTCACGTCACTAATTTTTGTTGTACTGGGTCCTGTTGGGTTTGCTTCTAGGGAGTCCAGTGATAATTCCCCACGATCTCCATTGAATACCACCGTGATGATACAGGACGACTCTCTACCAGCAGCACCCCCACCTCAGATACGCATTTTGAAGCGGCCTGCAAGCAACGGGTCATTGGGATCACCCTCGAATCCGAACAGGCCCACACCACAGGTCAAGTCTCTGGCTCAGCGCGAGGCCGAGTACGCCGAGGCCAGGAAGAGAATACTAGGCAGCGCCTGCCCGGATGAGACGCCTCAGGACAAACCCAACACTGACAGGTAATAATCCACAAATATTCACTTTTTTTAGCGGTTTTACTCGCAGCCTGATAACACCTTGCCAAAGTGCATTTGCATTTGGTGTATTTGCCGCTGCTGAAAACTTACTTTTTACTTTTTGTGATCCAAGTATCCAATAAGAGAGAGAGGGGCAGCAAATGAGTAGGCATTATTTGAGTCTTTCCATCCACCTTGATTCCAGTAATTAATATTCTTTGGTTGATGATTAATGAAATGTGTTTATCACCAAGGCACAGTGTCGTATATTACTCTTATTTCAAAATCAAAAAAGTGTTTATTTTCTAATTGACCTGTGATTCAGAATGTGTTCACTCCCAACATCTGTACTACTTTTAGACTACAATCTTGAATTAGATGGAAACTACATCAGTTTCTACAAACAGTATGTGAACACTATAAATAAGCTTCAGACTTGACTTGGTTTTGATTGACAGGAGGTGGAGCCTAACAATATTCATAGAAAGCTGTTTGATGCAGCGTTGCAGAAATTGATTGCATGTTTCTCGATAATCGTACATAATTTAACTGAATAAGAGGATGTTATGTTATTTTTTGTTTGTCCTCGGTTGGATTTGAATATTGGTGAATTGTGCCAAAATTTACATTAAAAAAGAACAATGAAAATCACTGTCTTGAAGCTAACTCCCTAAAACCAAGAGGGAACACTATAATTAGAATCACGTTAGAATACAGGGATCTTGTAATTAGGATACTTCAGGAGAAAGACATCCATTGGAAACAAAAATGGTGGAAACTTGCCAACAGCTGGCGCGTTTAAAAGGCTGCTGTTGCTAATGAATTCCCGTTTCATCCTATTTTCTGCCAGGGCAGGGCGCAATAACTCGACATTGCCTTCAGATGACACCCGATCAAACAATCACACTGTCCGGCAGCCAGCCGGCCCCGACGGCACCCAAGGGTTCCGACAGCACAGATAAGGGGGCCCTGGGGCCGCCCAGCCATTGTGGGGGGAGAGAGAGAGATCAAGGGCCACCAGAAAGCAACGACAGCACTGTATTCTTAAAAACGTCCTTCCTTCAGTTCCATTATATCGAATGGGCCGCGAGTACAGCCGCACTTGCTGCCTGACTCTTCCCACTGTGAGATCGTGTGGAACCGACGGGAAGCGAGAAACTCGAGGAGGAATTCAAATGGAAATGTGCTCTCTCCTCACTCCAGCCCGGTTGACACTGTGATAATGGACATCTTCTGGACCCACTGTGATGATCCCTTTAAGAGACGGCCCTCGCCTCCATCGCTCTCCTCCCTCAGTGCCCAGCGGCTCCGCCTCAGGACGGCCGCAAGGCAGAAGCAAAGACTTGGACAAAGGATGGCAGAGAGAGGAGTGACGGGCCATAGCAAAATGAGATGAGCTGCCTCTCCCCAGTAATAATACCAGACATCACCCGTCACATCTTTTACATACATGTTTTTAATTTTCAGATGTTGGCTCACAAAATTATTTAGTTTTTCTTGCTTGTCTTTAATTATCTATACTAGGGATGCTCTGATATCTACAGATACACCACCAAGAACCTGTTCTTTTAAACGGTATTCATTTTTTTGAGATTTAAAAAAAAATAAACAGCATCTGCATGTTAATGAAATAGGAATCATTCATATTTTGGTTCATATAAATGACTGTTTTGGTTTGACATCCTGGGCTGCTGCTTGTGGTGTCAGATGTGCAGTAAACACACCACCAAAGCCGAGTACTGAGCCGGTACCGGCCCTTTAACTGAGCCGGTACCGGCCCTTTAACTGAGCCGGTAGCATTATCAGTGCACCCCTAATATGTAAATTACCATTTTGTTTTTAAAAACTGAGGCTAAGGATCATGTGTGTCAAGTTGTATATCTGATAAGTTCTGTTTACGGTTCGTCTTTTTTTTTAAATAAGCTTTTCAGCTGTCTTCCTTGGACTGTCGCTTCATTATTTCTATCTAAAAGAAAGATTGTGGATTTAAGTCTGTTTTTAAGTAGCTTTTCTGCCTTTTTCTATGAGATGGTAGCAATGTCAGAGCAGTATTTTAATCGAAATGAACCAAAATCCCATTTTTAAAATCAACCTGTATATATCGGTTAATTCAGATGTCATTATTTGAAGGTGGTGTCGGCAGCAGCTCGATGGAGGGTCAGTTGGGTGAATGAATTCACTGCTGTGCTTCACAAGCCCCTCCGTCATGTCTCCACCAGCAGGAGAACTCAGGTGCAAGTGAACGAGACGGAATGAAATAAACTAAGATTGTATTTTTCCAGCGGGTTTCGATTGCTCAAACAACAAATGGCTGTATTTTGGCACTTTGTTAGAAACAGTGCTATACAGTGAGATGTAACTGAAACGATGTCCACGTCCCAAGATGAATGAATGCTGGTTGTTTTTGTTTGGCTGACTGTTGGAAACGGTAACATCGCCCTGTGTGATTGTTGGGTAACTGATGGTCCTCTGCTGGAATGGAACGTGGAGAGACAGCTGTATGTGAACCAGAGAGGTAGCGACGGCCCGTATGACCAGGACCATTGTGCCCAATAGATGAGATCTCAAAGCCGTATTCGGTGGTGCACATCAATAGAACAGTTCTTACAAATGGTTGAATTCAGCTCGTGCCTCCTGTGTCACATCTTTACTTCCTGGTTGTTTTTGTTCCTGTAGTTAAATGAAGCTGAATATATCCAGTGGGAGAATTCACAATACTGTCTGAGATTTTACTTCAGGAAATAAAGCAGCAGAGCAGGAGACGGATGCATTTAGCTGAGCTCAGAGTGAGAACTCCAACTGCCTGTAAATACTGATTTAATAAAATGATTTGCAAAAAAAAGTATTTCATTTTTTGGATGCATGTTCAGTACTTTAAGTTGGCAGGCTCGTGATGTTCATCTGAACTCAAGAGGAACTTGATCGCAGTAAGAGCTGCAAATTCTTGAGCACTGCAAATTAAATTCTATTCACAATGTTTTGCACAGGTGTATGAACTCTCAAACCCAACCCAAACTGTCATGTATGTATGGTCAGATGAGAGGGAAACTGTTTTGGTAATTTGGCTGAAACATGCAAACCCACCAGTGCTATATGGTCCTTCAACACCCCCAGGACTCCACTATTACATCACACTGAAAATACAAACAGCTTTCAAAACACACACACGGAAGTTTACAGAAAATACTTTTTATTAATGAAGGTAAACATAACTTGTTTGTTGACGAAGGGGATGTAGCTCAAACATCCACAGCACTTTTTTTTTGGCTTAAATGACTGACTGTCCAACAGAGGGCCGAGCAGACGCTAGCTGCACTGGATGACTGTCTGTTCTGTGGGGGACAGGGTTTGATTAAGGGGCGGCCATGACGGGGATTCACACAGAAGCGTGTTCAGACGTTTGTACTGTTTCTTGGACTGACGTTTCCCACGCAGCGCCCGAAGACAGTTCAGGATACCATTGTCTACTAGCACCTGGGGGGGGGGGGGAGAAATGTGTTCAGGGTTTTTAGGAATATACCACACTGCAAGAGATGACGAATCTTTTTTTTTTTAGTGCAGACATTTTGATCGTCACAGCAGAACATTAACGGTGGCTCTGTTCTATTCAACGTCCCACTGAGCAAAAGCAATATAATGCATACTCATTGTTTTACAGCATACATTGACACACCTGATACACATATGCATTCTGTTAGCATATGTTTGGTAGGAATATATTTTGCTCTTCGAAGGAGCTCTCAAAGAATGTGAGGATTCTGCTGGGAGAAATAATCCCCACGAACACATAAAACGGTACAGATGGCTGTTACTTGTATCCACACACTGTCACGCGTCTCATCCGGTTGGTGTCAGAGCTCATGACAGAGCCAGCTGTTTTTCATGTAAACATAAATCAACACTTGTCCTATGAGGGAGTTAAAAGTATCATATCGTCACTCACCTCCACAACAAAACAAATGAGGAAGTTGAGAGCAGCCACGGCGACGAGCACCATTTTAAAATCCATATCAATGAAGTTGTGCAGTTTAAATAGAGGACCGACGGGCCCGGGATACAACACCAGCCAAGTCGTCACAGCAAAGAGGACAAGCAGCAGAGAGAGGAACATCCCTGGAAAGATGAGAAGAAGAAAAAGCAATTCAAGGTCCTTAATCTTCAATAGGTTTCACTTGTAATATTATATTTAATAAAGCTGAACGATGGACAGCATCCCCTGCTTTGACCCCAAGTCGCCATCCTCGGATATTTCTGCTGACTCACAGTTGAAGAAGAGAGGTTTCTTGTGAGGGTAGCCCTTGGTGACCACCACAGCCATGATGATGTACTGGAAAGCTGACAAGGAAAACACACTGGTGTTCTCCATGTTGGGCAGATTGGCCACGCCAAACAATGTTGAATTGAGCGGAACGAACCTAAAAGACAAAAAATACCGGGGAATGGAGTTTTACAGCAAGTGTAGCTGGGATGCTGTTTTTTTTTTTCTTCTACATCTGAGCTATTGTAGAAACAAATACAAAATGCTTGTTCAGGATATCCTGACTCGAAATAAAAGCTCTTTGTGGCTGCGCGTGGCCTTTTCACTGACCAGTCCTGTGAGGTGGTGATGAACAGCGCGGCCAGCTGGCCCAGGACAATCATGCAGGTGTGGACGAGGAGGCTGCCCAGGACAGGCAGGGCCAGCAGACTGGCTGAGGGTCTGTAGGGGTGCAGCTCCTCACCGGGGCCTCCTCTCCCCATCACGATGGCCAGCGGAGTCACCACGAATAAGTCACAGAACAGGAACTGCCAGTCAGCCAGGGTCGTCCTCACCTAGAGACACACACACAGACAACATGTGATCAGGATGCCGGTCGTTGACAGCCGATGAGAGGTGCAAACAGATGGCTTTGGATTCAAACGCATCAAGTCAAATCAATAGTAATTGAATCCTGTATTGACATAGTTTCTTATGCGTAAAGCTTTGCCTGTATACACTGCGGTCATCTCCAATATGAGTTTCTGCACTAATGTAACACATCTGGCTTATGTCCAGTGTCATGCGTATTGCCCCGTACTGGAATATGTGTCACGTTAGCTCGCCAGAGCCGATGTCTATCAGAGTATTAGTGTGTGGTCATATGACTGGCTTCCAGCAAGTTGCTTTGTTTGCAAATAATGAAAATATCTGTAGTTAAGCTAACATGACATCTTCTTGACACCAACAAGCCGGCTTTTGAAAGTTTTTTTTGTCTTCAATAACATGTCCATAATGAAATAAAATGATTTATTTAAATAAAAATGTCTCCACTGCTACTCACGGTGTAGAGGACGAGGACGGAGCAGAACTGGATGAGACTGTAGAGGGCCATGTATCTAAAGAGACTGAAGGAGGTGACCAGAGAACACCGGCCCTCTCTGCACAGTCAAGGAGAAAAACAAGTGTTGTTATTATTTATTCCGCTCACTGTACTACAAACATGTCCGGTTCAGTTGCTTTTCAAAAACTTTGTCCACATTTACTTAATGCTTCCTGCTTCCTCACCTGATGAGCAGCGGCACACAGCTGATGTTTTCAGTCTTGGAGGTAAAAGGTGACGCGACTGAGGCCTCGGCTTCGGACAGGGAAACCCCGACATCAGCGGCTCTCAGGGCCCCGCAGTCATTGGCCCCGTCCCCACACATGCCCACCCGGTAGCTGTAGTAATAGAAGTCAAGTAGTAGCATGTGTTAAATTATACAAATTACTACACGTGATTATACATTAAAATTAACAAATAGATAAACTGGTATTGAGAGGCAGTATCTCACAATACTTCATAGACTTTCTGATGAGAATGAAATTAAGTCTTTTGTTTAGCAAAATGTAGACTGTTTCCCCTTAAATTGAATAGTATTGGTATTAGCTTCTTCTTGGGTGTTGAAGCCAACATGGATGTGCTCTAAAATGCAGTTCCTCTAATGGCCACTAGACGGCAAAAAACTATTCAAAAAATTATACACTTTTTATATTTTGTATTTAAGTTGAAGTAGTATTTTAAGTAAGTTTTGGGACTGCAGGTTAATAAGGGTTTGATTTCCCAGACGTTTTCTTTTCTTTCTGTTCTTCCCGTGTGTTTCCCATCCTTCCCCTTTTTTGTGTCTGAACTCACTTCAGTTTCTGCAGCTCCTTCATCAGCTGGGTTTTCTGGTCGGGAGCCATGCGCGCAAATACGGTGGCTCGCAACAAAACCTGCAAAGACAGCAATGTCAAGGAAAGTTGACAAACAATTGATCACATCCTGATTTGAAATACAGTCCATTAGTCTAATGCCTCAGTATAATCCAATTCAATCATTGTCCCCCGTCACCACTCCCCTAATTGTTGTGTGCTAGCATCATTTTGTTGTCGGAATAGCATGGCCCATTGTCGTAATATCCCTGCTGGGACGACATAGCATACATTACCTTTGGCAAATACTCCGGGAAGTGATTACAGAGAGCAGCAAAGGACTTTCCGTTAATAGCCAAGTGGAGGTCAAAACCACTCTGGTACAGGCTCTGAGAGGAGAAAAGAAAAGCATTACCAACAGCAGCCAAAACCCTCCCAGTTTACACATGTAGGCCATGAATGCCTATTGTGTGTGCTATAGAGAGAGCTACTTAATCATTAAATATGTTTGAAATCAGTTCGAATGATCTTCTTGCCACACCACTCAAACTGTACGAGAGATAATAGAGCACAAAGACTTGGGACAAATATTTAGGTTTGACTTCAAATCAAACCAAATCACTGTTCTCTTTCAAGTTCCAGAGCATGACAGCTTGGGAAAAGACTTGTGACATATGATGACGGTCATCTCCTTTTATGTTTTGTCTAACAGAGTAGAACAAGTATCGCTACAATCCAAAATGCCACGATTGACTGATTTATTGACACGGGTGAAAGTTGCTACAAGATACACGATTCCTCTCTTCCCAGATATTGACAATAGAGTACCCCTGAGACTTAAAAAGACTAAGCAGGACCAACCCGAGTGACAATAGAGGTTTGGGCGTCAGGGGCCCCTCCTTCTTCCAGGCTGAAGTTTAGGGTGGGCATGGACTGGGCAGTGTGGGGGGTCGCATTGACGAATATCACCTTCTCATCGACTCCCACCATGCCACAGCTTTTTGCTACATTGACTGCTGTTAAAATGTTGTCCCCTATGTGAAGAAGGACAAAAACAAGATTGGACGCGAAGTTGATGGCATTAAAGTTGACGCCTGAAAATGAATGCTTTATCATAAAAAAAAGAAAAAAAAAAAAAAAAAGAAAAAAAAGAAGAGGAAGTGAAAAATATCTCTCACCAGTGACCATGACACTGCGGAGGTTTGCCAGTCTCAGGACGTCAATAACTTTGGCACTTTCTGGCTTCACCAGATTCTTCATCATCAGCAAGCCCAGGAACCGCATGTCTTTCTCTACTTCCCCTCTGCGGACAGACAAACAGCTGCATTTCAGCATGACCAGAAGCGTTGGAGCCCCAAAGCAGCCAGAAGCACAGACAGGGTTCCCACCGTTCAATGGTCCTCAGGTCAGTGTTCCCGTCTACTGGTTTATAGGCGAGCGCAAGGACTCTGAGGCCTTCACTGGAGAAGCTGCTCAGTTCACTGGAGAACTGCGCCGGCACTGTAAACATGAAGCAGCCCGTTTTGTATGAATGTGATGTATAAGAGCCGACACTAGACATTCATATATATTTTTATATTAAAAGGAGTCTCCTCGTTATAGTACTAATATGAAGTTACTGACCGGTTTCTGGTCGGCAGAGGCTTGCCACCATCTCTGGGGATCCTTTGATGAAAGCGAGTGGCGAGTGTCCCCCACGGGCCACCGTCACCACGCTCATCCTCTGCAGGGCCGAGGAGAAGGGAAACCTCCGAACAATGGCCATCGCCTCGCTTGTGGTCTGACGGCAAAATGAAAGACAAGGATGTCAGTTTTGCAAAGACAGATATATATAGACAGATATTGGCACAGTAGGGAGGGACACAGTAATAAAAAAAAAAAAAAAAAAAAAAAGAGGTACCACTACCTAACTGCTGACATAGCAACTTTTCTTCATCCATTTCTAATTTAGTTTCAGTAAATGAAGTTTGTAATTTCATACATTTACCACAATGTCAAAACCTAACGCTAAAGGTTAAGAAAAGGAGAGATCAATACCTGTGCAGCAGTTTTAACTGGAGTTAAGGGGATTTGACGTTTACAACAAAGAAGCCCTACTCATCGGTCAATAGGAGGGTGAAGGTAGGGACACTCACAGTCCCTCTAGACGGAGGTTTCAGAACAGCCAAAACTCTGTGGCCTCCAAACTCTGCATCCAGCTCCTTTCCATCTCCCTCTGGCTCCTGGAGGGTCTGGAAAATAAAATGTGATTTAGATTAACATGTTTTAGCAGAAGTAAGATGAAATGTTATGAGCGGGAGAAGAGATCGCTGTGGTCGCGCAAAAACAAATGTCTCAGAAGTGCGAACAAGCTTTTTCAAGTAACAATACTTGCAATATTTGTTCATATTGATAGGTAATAATGTCAAAAATTAAAGGTCATGTTTTACAATTTTTTGTGTACCTGATACTAACAGAATATTTCAAATAAACTGTCCACATTGGCATTTACTTACAAATTATTTTGAAGTCTAACTGAGTCCTGCATGGGGCTTGGTATATCCAACCTCAATACAGTTATATAATGTGTTTATTACTGGTAGTCAGTCACCGATTTAAATCTTTTTTTCCCCAATTCTAGACTATCATAGTTCTTGAAGGGCTTCTTATGTTTAGGCATTTCACATCGGAGAACTTTGGCTTCTTTCGTTAAAGAACAAAAGGGTTTTGTAAGTATGCCAGTACTGTTAGTACTTTTACTAACAGTACTGCTGGTACTGATACTTTTAGTATCAGTACCAACTTTGGTGATCTATCAATACTAATATTAAAAAATGTGCAATAAACACCCAGTTCTAGTCAAGAACCTCGAGTTAAATAAAACACGCTTTAGAGTGTTATACCCAACCAGTGGACTCGACCATCTTGAGCTCCAGGGGGTCTCCGAGGGGCTTTCCTTGCAACAGCGTCACAGTGTGACAGCAGGCCAGGCCTGACAGCATGGGCCCTGGGGGCAGGAGCCTGGGATCTGGAACCAGCTCTGAGAAACCGGCAGTTCCCCCCTCCATCACCCCCCACACATCCAGACCGTCCTCCGTAAGAGTCCCTGTCTGGAGACACAACAGCGCTCCGATGAAAGGCAACTTCAACAGGTCAAACGGCCGCGATGAGTTCTCCACCTACAGACGTCAGCTCGTGGAATTCCCCCTCACCTTGTCAAAGCAGAAGAGGGAGACCTTGCCGCAGATGTTGATGCGTGGCGGACTGATGCAGAAGATTCCCTGCCTCTTCAGCCTGCCCTGGGCGTAGATGGTGCCCGTGGTGATGGCAGCGGGCAGGGCAGGAGGCACTGCGATGGTCACCAGATCCAGGCTCCTGATCACCAATTCCAACCAAGTCACCTGGACACACGTCAGTGCGGTCACTTTCTTTATTGTTGGCATGCCAAATAAAGACAAAAAAAGATCTGGTCCTTGCACTTACATCAGTCCTGAAGAGGACCACAAAACTGTAAATGGAGCCAAAAAAAGCTGAAAAAGGAAGGACAAATAGTGGGAAGAGTTTATTAATGTTCAATTGTTGAATTAAAGTAATCTGAGTAAATTAAATGTAAATACAGATAACATTAGCTTCTTTATACGCTCTTGAAACTAAATCTGGAAGGTCACTGTTGAACGTGCTTACCGACAAAACCCAGGAGGAACAGGAACTTGAAAGAGTCTTGGTAGAAGTGGAAGTCGGTTGGCTGAGGATGCATAATGGAGCTTACCAGGCTACCTTTGGCTGTGAAAAACCCTGAGGATGAGATGAAAGCAGACCAACTGGCTTGACTTGGAGAGCAAACGAAAGCTCTTAAAGGAATGCTTCACAGTGCAAGCCTTACTAGTTTAAGCATTGCAGACTCGCAGGCGTGAGACAGCTTATGCAAAGTGTTTAGAAAGGTAAGGTTTCAGCGAAGATGCATCCTTAAAGACTAAAACGTATCGACTGCATTTCCCCCCCCTCATAAAACATTTCATTCATTCATTTATTTCCACTTATCCGGGTTCGGGTCGCAGGGAAAGCAGCCTTAAGAGGGAATTCCAGATGCCCCTCTCCCGAGAAACGCTTTGCAGCTCCTCCTGGGGAACTCCGAGGTGTTCCCAGACCAAACCAGATATGTAACTTACCAGTTGGATGTGCCCGGAAAACCTCTAAAAAGTGTCCAGGAGGCATCCTGATTAGATGTCCGAATCACCTCAGCTGACCCCTTTCGACGCGAAGGACCAGCGACTCAGAGATCCCCTTGGATGTCTGAGCTCCTCACCCCATCTCTAAGGCTGAGCCCAAACACCCTACGAAGGGAGCTCGTTTCGGCCGATTGTATCCGCGATCTCATCCTTTCTGTCACTCCCCAAAGCTCATGACCATGGGCGAGGGTGGGAACGTATAGATGGACTGGTAAATTGAGAGCTTTGCCTTCCGGCTCAGCTCCCTCTTCACCACAACGGTCTGGTACAACGCCCGCAGCACTGCTGACGCCGCACCGAACTGCCGGTCCATCCGACGCTCCTTTTCACCCTCACTCGTGAACAAGACCCTGATGAACTTGAACTCTCTCTAAAACGGACACTCTCCTCCACCCGGCTGCTGAAATCCTGTCCATGTAACAGGTGACGAGGGATGTGCGCGCCCTCATGCGCGAGACCTGCTATATTATATAGCAGGTCAGTATATAGGTTATTCAGCAGTTATATATAATATATAACTGCTGAATAACTGCTTCAAAGCAACACCAGAGGTCAAGAACTCCACGGATTGAAATGTTACAGAATCACGTCAGTGTTTCTACTCACCGGTGCTCGTGACCACAGCAACAGCATCGCTGCCCCCCCCTTTGGCCTGAATGAGCTGGGTGCCACAGAAGAGGGTGTGTCTGCGCTCCGTCTCTGAGCTGTACCTCCCCTCACCAGTCGGCAGTGGTGTTTTCAGCATTGGGACACTTTCACCTGGACACAGGAGCAACGAGGACAGGTGAATACAGTGACTCCTCACGGGGCCGATGGACAGCAAGCCGTCACAAATGCTGAATCATGCAACTAGACAATGCGTAGCCGAGTGTTTTTTCTTTCTTGGGGGAAATTAAATTGAATTGCAATTTTCATTTCAGATTTGAGTAGTTTGCCAAATCAAAATGGTTCAGATTTAGGATGTAAAAAGGATGTAAGTCAGAAGTCTCATGCACCATCTTTAACAAGGGACAATGAAGCAAAAGCTTGAACCCTCACATGTGTGCAGTGATCTTGAATATCACTTTTGACAGCTAACTTCTGACTCTAATCAGCCTCAAGGCTGATATAAATGGCCTTTTCTAAGCTAAGGAAAACACAACAATTCTTAGTTTTGGGTGGTCATACACTGATTAAAACATATTTAGGAATATTGTATTCAATATTTGTCTATAGATCCCCCCAAATGTTAACCACTGTTCCTTTAGAGGGCTTTTTAAAAATCAAATCCTATATAATAAGTGTGAAACGGTTAGCCTACTGCCTGGTGTTGGCGTTGAGGTTTTGTTGATCACCTGTGAGCATGCTCTCGTTGACCAGACACTCCCCGGCCAGCAGGGCAGCATCACAGGGCAGCAGCAGACCTTCCTGAGGGATGATGAGACAGTCGCCGGGGACCAGCTCCTCCGAGCTCACACACTCCTCCACTGAGAAAACACACACACACACACAACTAGGAATGAATGTCCCCATGGGGAGATGGCTTCACTCACACTAGCATACAGCAATTTCTCAAAATAAACTAGACCTGCAAGCTACCGAAACAGAATATAATCTTCTTAGCATGTAGTCATCTCGTTTGCTTATTAACAGATGTTTGCCCCTTATGACCACAATTTGCCATCCATGCCATATGTTCAATATGGACACTCATGTATTCCATTGTGATCTAGGACTGGGACACTTTTCATAGTTCAATATTTATTTGATCAATACATTTGTAAATTAACAGTTTTAAACATTTTTTGACCCACTTCATATGATGGTGATTTATCACTAAATGAAACCATGGCCACACATTAATGCAGGACTCATGTTAACGCCAAGAGAACAATCCATCGCTTAACACACATCATTTTCTGAAACTACAAGAAATCCCCATTAGAAGAGGAGTACGTTTGCAGAAGCTCACCTCCCGAGTTTCTCCGTACTGTGACATTTGTGACAAACTGGGCCATGTTGCGGAGAGTGATGCTTTGCTGTGGAGTAAGGTTTGTATAATATTAGTTTATCCATATCCAGAGCTAAACCCACAACAGTGTACCGTCAGATTAAGTACCCCGCCACAAACTCACCTTGCGGATCTCATAAAGTGAGAAAACGATGGAGCAAACGGAGATAACAAATATACATATGGCGTATAAATAGTATCGATCGACCATCCACAGGATGATGCTGAACACTTGGAAGACGTAGAATGGGTTGAGGACCTAAAGGAGCAGATAAAGAGAGATACGGAGGGAAAGAGCGAGTTCAATTTGATACTTCACCTGGTCGTTGAATAAAATATGTCACTTCAAACGTTCCGAACATCTCATAAAAAATAAAACAGACAATCTGAGGCAGACAGTACAAAGGACAGACTTTCCATCTCACCTCCTCAAACAGCAGTCGTATGTAAGGCTTCACAGGCACATCGATGAGGTTGGGCCCATACATGCGTCTCCTGAAACAATTCATGTCATGAATAACTCTAAAGAATAATAAATAACCAAAGAATCAGATTAATTTTCCATTCGTGCATCTTTTCCGACCTCGAGCTCTGCTCCAGGTGACTCAGGCCCTTTTGGAAATCATACAGGTCCTTGCGGGTCCAGTTCTCATTGAGGACGCTACAGACATAAAGATGGAAGAATTCAACATTATGGTTAAATATTTGACTTTCTAGCTATATATTGAAAATATAACTGAGGAAAAGCTGCTCAGGACTGTGTGCACTGCTGTGTTTTCCCCGTTTCAGTACCTGACACGACAGAAAGCTCCTTTCTGGGCCATCCAGATGTAGCGCAGTCCTTCAAACAGGTAGTAGCGCAGCAGCGTTTTCTGCAACACAATAACGGTCACTTTCAGCCCGCGAGAGAAGATCCCCTCGGGCACACTGTTCTGCCAAACGTTCACTTCTTCCTCACCTCCTCCTTGTGCAGCTGAACCTTATCTCTACATTCATTGTCCTCCAGCTCTCCCAATAGCTCCACACTGAAAGGGACAAACCCAGTGAGTAGAGCCTACACACAGCTTTCACAGACACGCTCATACTAGTGTTAAAAAAGCCTAAAAAGGTGACGCTGACAGAGGACTTGAAGCTGACCTGCCGTCCTCCATCTCTACTGTGAGGACCTCCACCACATGACGCTGGTCAAAGCTGTCCTGAAGGTAAAAATGACACAGATACATTAGTGATTGTTGGAAACTAGGCACGACCAAGATCCTTATTCTTGCTGGCTGACGAGAATGTCATGGGACAGAACCAACAAATATAAAGCTAAGTAATCAAGGTACAAATCTACTTATTATAACATATCAATGTAACGTTCCACCCAGTAAGATGTGAATCCAACAGAGGGCTTGGGTGATGAATACTGGTCAGAAATTGGTGAAGCAAGATGAGGTATTTACTGCAACCTGACTGATTTTTTGAAGGCCAATATTTTGTAAATTAAGCTGGTAATTGCTAAGAACTTTGTGCCGATGTGTGCAGAATTTATTCAGGAAAAGACAGCTTTTCGGACATCAACCTTTCAAACTAACATTTCAGCGCAGGTTCTATTAAAGAACAGGGAAAAACGTGGGACAAAGTGACAGTTCATTTTCTCACTCTTATCAGCAGAATATCTGCCAATGCCAGAGGGCAGGAGCAGCAGCGGGCAAGGACAGCGAGGCGTGGGCGCCAGTGAAACACGACCAGGAGGAGACCCAAGGACAGCACGGCAGCCAGACGACACAGCCACACCCGCCAGCGCACCCACTTATAGCCCTGGACATCCTGGTGTGGGGGGGGGGGGGGCGAAAGAGTCAGACAGTCCATTCAGATTCAAAACAAAAGTCAATTTGCATAACGCTGGTTAGCTTATCAGCAACCACACCAGACGATTAAAAGCCGCATTCAAAAGCCAGATTGTGACAGAGATACCTAAAACCAAACGTGAGTAAATATTCAAAGCCACTCATTCCTCTGCATCTGTAAGGGCAGCACGGTTATAGAGGCCGGTGCACATCTGTAAGTTCTACATCTACAGGGGTCATCAGGACACTACCGCTCCCACCTGTCCACTCGGTCATCAGAGACTGAAAATGTACTTGTATTGCTGTATTTTCCCAGACATCATTTGCCACACTTGGGTTAAGCAGGAAAAACTGTGGACGCTCTTACCATGTCTGAGTCAGGGCTGAGCAGGCGGTCGCGTGGACAGGGTGAGGGGAGTCTGCTCTGCGACTGGACCGCACTACCTACAGAACAGGTGCAGTGTTTCATGTGAACTGAGCAGGACAACACACACCCTCAAAGACAACACAATACAAAGCACACACTGCAAAGCTCTAGTCGAGGTCAATGATCCACACTGTGAGAACCTGTTTTTTAGTAGGCTTGTTTTAAGGGGGGGGGGAAGGAAACAATACAAACAGTTAAACTTTAGGAAAACATGTCAGATAGCGGGAGGCTTTCATAAAGGGAAATAAACACACCTGAGTTTGGCGGAAACACTGCGCTCCTCTAGAAACAATAACTTTTAATGGATACAGAGGAGAGTAAAATAGCCCATAAAGTATCATAACAATTGTTTGCTACAATCTCATAGTGAAGTCGCTACATATTAACAGCTCACAATACCAGAGGAGCTTAGGAAAAACACCATAAAGTGGAGTAAGCTGTTTGTTTAGCCCAGGGATGTTTGAAGCGGACCCGGATTCTCACTTCCGCTTTCTCAGATGTGGAAGGATCGAAACAAATCCTATTTCATTCACATTTAACACATTAGATAGAGGGGGAGGAATTAGCTTACCGTCAACCCGAGAACGTCAGCATAAAATGTTTATATTTCCCCGCAGATGGAGAGTGAGCAGATTCCAGCGCACTAGCTGTTGTTTCCCACCTTGCTTTTGTTCACCTGCATACGTGTCTCGAGCGAGCGACACCTGACTACGAGCGAACCGACTTCTGCCCCTCCCGACTATTTATGTTGAGTAAACTAAGCATTGTCTTGTTAAAAAAAAGGCCACGTTTATTCCACACTGTTGACTGTGGCGGCACCGAGAAACGGACGCTACAGGATACATACAAAAACAAACAAAGATGAAGTATATATTGTAGGATATTATCAGTTTGTGGTTTGTTCATAAATAGAAGGACACCAACCACCTGACAGAGAGGGCAGACAAACTCAATTAATATTTCATAGTTTTACTCTCCTTGGCATTAACATAGATGTCAGCGCATCAAAATACATTTAATTAGTTTAAAGTAGCAGTGTGTAGAATATAGTGCCATCTAGCTGTGAGGTTGCAGATTGCATCCAACTGAATACCCCCTCTGCTGACCCCGGCCTGTCCAAGCGTGTTGGGATGACTACGGTGGCCTTCTGGTAACGCAAAAGCCAAACAAGCTCTCGCTAGAGCCAGTGTTTGGTTTGTCCCTTCTGGGCTACCGTAGGAACATGAGGTAAAGAAGACCCGCTCCCTATGTAGACATAAATGGCTCATTCGAAGCTAATACAAACACCATGAGCCTTTGTTTTCAGGTGATTAAACACTAATGAAAAGATATTTATGAATATTATATTCCATTTCTGCCAATAGACTCCCCTAAATCCTACACACTGCTCCTTTAAGTCAGGTCTGATGTTGACATACATAAAATAATGATCCAGTCACCGCCACATGAGGCATACAGCTTATTAAGTAAAAACTGGTGTCAGATCTTTAGTAGAGTGGTATTGTGAAGAAGTTGGATCAGTGCATCCCTAACTTTAATGTTAAAGGAATGTTCAGTTGGATGCCATATGCAGAAAGACACCAGAACAGATGTTCATCTTATTTGTGTCCCATTGTTGCTCTTGTGTTGGCTTTCATGGACACAAGCATCACAATATACACACTGCACAAGAAACCAAAGAAGTGAGTCATTTGTTTGGTCATAATACACAACACATGATCGTGATAAAAGCTAGTCATGTGAAAGCTAATCAAGGCGTATGTAACGGAATGTGAGATATTTTGCCAAATCACATGCTTGCTTGCTTTGCTGTAACTAGGCCAATCTCTACCAAGAAGGTGATCCGTCATGGTTTGCTGTGTGTCAGACTGTTTGGAAAGATCTCTTTAAAGAAATCTCTGACACAAAAGGCTACACCGTAGCAGCCTGTCTTTTTATAATCTTTAAAGTGGTATTTCATTCCAGCTGGTTTCCTCACCTACATAGACTGTCTCAGCACTCACAGGAATTCCAGGCTTCTAAAGTCATGATTATGCCCCTTTTAAATTACCGTTATCTCAGGCAGCAATCAATAACTCCCTGTTCAAAGGGCCGCCTACATTAGGTGGAGGGAGGCCACAATGGATAATATATCCCTACAAATATGACTTCATAAATCCTGCTGTGGCCAATGAGCTGTGGACTACCCGAAGAAAGTCAAGTCTTTCAGTTTCATATTCAACCGGACCATTACGCAGGACAAAACTTCTGTGATGTCAAAAAAAAGGGAAACGACTATCCACAAAGGACTAGACAAGACACAAGACTAATATAATCTGCGCTGATTATGCAAAAATCCAACCTTTAACCTCAAATAGCACCAGCTTCATCGACAGGCTACGCCAACAGCCTGTACACTCAATTGATGGTGGGCCAACCTGACACTTATAGTACCGGGCTCTGTTAAAGTTAGCCATCTCTGTACATCCATTGTTGGTTACTTAACGGCCTACATATATACGCCAATCCTGAAGCTAAAGATGTATCGGTCCAGCTCTAATTGAGACACTTAGTAGAAGTTACTGTAGTAGTGTTTGTATTAGTACCTGTGTTAGGAATTAGTAAGGCAGTAGGGAGGTTTGTGGTGCTTCTGAAAAGACATGTTAGTGGTGAACTTAAATGTGCAAGATCCGAGATAGGGAGTGTTTTGATTGCCTCTGAACATGTCAACTAACTACGCCAACAGTGGTAACTATTGTGAAAGTGCTGACAGATAACACACACAGAGGGACTTCATGCTCTGCTCAGGTAGACATTACTCCACTAGACTGTTCATAGACAACAGTTGTTTGATGCCATAGAAATGTTCAGAATGTTAAATAAAGCTCCTTTAAATGTCTCAAATGTAATGCCGCCCACCTCCATTGTAATGGAGAGAAAGCAGACAAACAAAAGATCTGCTTGGCTCTATTCTCCTAGAGGTAAGAAGGGTGATAACATGTTTTTCTTTTTGTAATTTAGGGGGAAATTGCCCTTTAAACTCCACCAGAGAACGTTTATATTTGAAGCACACTCTTTAATTAATTACACAACGATAGGAAAGTCCAATACTTATTTATTGATTTGATCAAAACAACTTATTTTCTTCATTGATTGCCTAATGGTGATGGTTACATTAAAGTCTTGGCTAAACTACAACACTAGTTAGCTACGAGCCACATTATTGATTAGTATACTTAGCTGCTGGTGAAGTGGAGTTTGTTTTTCTGAATAACGCGAGTTGACAGCAGAACATTGTCGGTTATTGCCACCTTAATTAAAACCTGAAGCTAATCAACATTTGCACAGACGAAAACTGAACCGGTTTGCAGGTCTTAGCTAACTAACCTTGTTCGTTAACAGCATTCAAACACACTCACCATTTATATCCATCCTCAGGTCACGATGACTGGCTCTGCATTAGCATCGTAACCTAAATGACAAAATGTCTTCTGACCAGAACAACCACACAAACAAGCTTCCTTGATCAACATCCAGCTAGCCCATCTACAAACTATACCCTTCTACGGCAAGTCGCGAAGTCCAAAATAGTCACACGCGTGCAAAAGTGTAGATAGAAACCCCGCTAAAGCCAGCCTGCTGCATTGGTATCGCTTACTGTAAAACCGCATTGCTTACAACAGTCTTAGCCTCTATATAGCGGAACATTTTCTCTATACGACAAGAGATTTGATAATTAAAATTGTTCCCGATGAATAATTAAAAATCCCTACATAAATTTGATTACAGTAGTTTCATTTGGATGTTTTTGCCAGTCCTACAATTTTCCAATAGGACTGTAAATATTCACAGAAACGCACTCTATTTGCTTTCCTAGGGTATCATTTGCAAATAGCTGATAACACTAAACCTAATGCTTTAACTCATTTACTGAAGCTTTGAATCTTTATTATAAGCCATTTAAAAGAACAACTTCTGGGTTGCCAAATAGTATGGGAATCTCTTCGGCAGGTGTTTATACTCCCTCTGCACTGCACTTGCTTTTTATTAAAGATAGCAGTGATTTACATGTTATGTTTTATTAACCTTGTTGTTGTAGAGTCCCTGTTTGGATGCAGCTTGACAGTAATTTCTCCACAGACCAATAAATACAAATAGAGACCACATTCCAATGAAACGTCCCCCCAGCAGACATTTTGACCTGTGCAGGAAATGCACAGGTTCAAATAACAGCATTAACAATGGCTTCATTCCGTTAAGTCTCCCAGTTAGCCATATCAATGAACTAATATGGACTACACAAGAGCCCTGGATCTGGCTCATCTAAATGGAATGCAGCCATCTTTAATGTCACTAATTCCACCTGTCTTTTACCTAGTAAAAAAAAAATGAATTGTATATATAATATACAATTAATTTTTATAATATTTTTTACTCTGATATTTTTATTGTATATATTGTGCATTTTTATACTCAATATGTTTTATTTTTACTATAATGCTGCTGTAGCGAACAAATTTCCCCTTGCGGGATTAATAAAGTATCTATCTATCTATAAGTGTCGGCTGTGAAAAGGGCCTTTCTGGCAATTAACAATGTCTCATTAGATTCTTCAATATTGTTTATTGCAATGTAAGTCGCAAAGGCAATCAACAAAAGAGTAATTTCTTCTTTTCTGAACCAAAAACATTCACTTTCCATCATGAGCCCAGCACATCTTTAATTAACACATATCTAAATATTTACAGTCCACAAGCTCCATGAGCTTTTCCTAAAGAGTAAATACAACAGAGCCAAGTATTTAAATTTTTCAAACAAATAGCAGAAATGTGGTCCAACCTGTTGCATCACTCAAAATATTTTTCTTTTACAGTTTTTTTGAGCAGCCTTTTCTCACAATGTTCTGTATTCCTCAACCTCATCAAATCCCGCTCGGCGCACGCCAACACACTCGCATCCCCCAAACTTAATAAAAATGATGAAAAGGTGCTGATGTAGGCAATAGTTTCTTGGTTTGCTCTTCTCTTCCTCTTCACTTTGTTCAAGGTCAGTGGATCTCTTGAGCCAGCTGGATTTTCACACGTTCATATAGCTGCTGCTTTCTTCTCTTTGTAAGTCGCCATCATTTTCTTGATCTCTGCGATGGCTTTTCCCGGGTTGAGTCCCTGTGGAGCATTGTGCCGAAAACAGACAGTGAGAAACCAAACCTCTGTTAATTATGTGAGAGAATGTGTGTGAGAACACTTTTGAAGTACCTTGGGACACGTCTTGGTGCAGTTCATGATAGTGTGGCAGCGGTAGAGAGAGAAGGGGTCCTGAAGTTTAGACAGACGTTCCTCTGTGAACTCATCACGGGAGTCAATCATCCACCGGTAGGCCTAAAGAGATAATAACACAGTTGCCATCTGCACCATCATGAATCATTTTTACTATAATTTATTTTTTTCAAAAACAGCCACCAACTGGAGGATAACCTCATTAAATATTAACAACATGGCCTTTGCTCTGGCACCGCCCTCATAACTAAATATGAAAACCCACCTGCATGAGGACAGCAGGTCCCAAGTATTTGTCTCCGTTCCACCAGTAGCTGGGACAGCTGGTGCTGCAGCAAGCACACAGGATGCACTCATACAGGCCATCCTGTCGGGTTAAGAAGAAATAAATCATCACGTGATCATTAAAAGTGTGATTCTGCTACAATACATCGTGGAAATAGACAGGTGGCGTTATCGATCCTGCGGTTGGCTGGCTAAAATCCTTGTGATGAAATGACAACTGTGACCATGTTATGAAGACCTCCAATATGGCTACCCAGCATGTGTTGTATAATTACAAGCGAGACGTTTAATTACCAGTTTCTGCCTGTCTTCCACCGACTGGAAATACTGCTCTTTCCCTTCTTGAGTGTCATCCTTCTTTTTCAGGTAGGGCTCGATGGATTTGTACTGCGCATAGAAGTTGCTCATATCCTGGTGGAAATCACACAACGAGGGGGAACTCATAACAGGCACTCCAACAGACCAATAAATGCACCATATATGATTTTCTTTATGTCATGCTACTTTCACACACTGTTCGCGATCATCTGCTGAAGCACTTTCAAATGTGGCCGTGGAAAGAAACGCTATACACTTGCAGTACTTACAGGCACCAGATCTTTGACCACATACATGTGTGGGAGCGGGTAGATTTTCGTTGGTTTGCTTGTGTTGGTGTCAATTTTGTTAAGGCATGCCAGTGTGTTGCCTCCATTTATGTTCATGGCACATGAGCCGCAGATACCTGAAGAAATTAAGAAACAATTAACGGGTCACTGACATCTGGCACAAAGGTCAACTTAAACAGGCCTGTTAACGTGTTTCATTTCTTTTGATTACTATTATTTTTTTGTATCCAAGTGGAAATCGTTAAAATTATGTGCAATCTAGATTAATTTCTTACCTTCACGGCAGGAGCGTCTGAATGTGAGTGTGGGGTCAATCTCATTCTTGATCTTAATGAGGGCATCCAGAGTCATTGGACCACAACTATAGCAACAGTTACATGTCACTACGTTATGACATCGATTACGTTATTGTGAAAAGAAAAATACAGCTCAGCAACGTTCTGTTCATGGGCTACGACTTACGTGTTGAGATCAATTTCATAGGTCTGCATTCGCGGTTTGTCTCCAGCGGTGTCTGGGTCCCAGCGGTAAATCTGGAACTTCTTGATCCTGGGTTCAGGAGCCGGGGCAGCGGCCGTCTGAGCATGCCGTACCATCTGGATCATAGATAATAACAAACAAATAAGAAAGACCGTATGAATTAATCACACATTTTTTCTTTTTTTTTTGAATCCCTCCAGTGTGTTCTTCTTTCATCCTTTCTACAGAAAGCATTTTATTTTAGGTAAGAGTAAAAGAAAGAGCCATAAAAGCGAAAGGTACTGTATGTACAAAGGAACACACCATGATGTGACCTTGCTGCTGTTTCTGTGAACTCAGGCCAAAATAGGAACCACTTGGTTATTCGATCCTGCAACACCTTAGAATACTACTTGCACTAATACATAACTCATGCAAACAACTTTAGAAAATGAAGCTTTATTTGTATTTCACGAATCTAAAATAATGAACAGTGTATGCTTTGCAGTAGAATGAAGAGACAAACTAACAAAATAAAAGAAAGGTACCATAAGATCACAACAACCACAAATCATTTAAAACAACATCTCAACGAAAGCATTTAAAAACCAGTCTGAATATATTAGGCCTGATATTAATTGTAAGATATAAAAAACTACAGTTAGAAGGTAATAAACAGATAAGCAGATCATATTTCGGATTTGATAAATATCATGTTTTCGCCAGTTATTCAATAGTGTTTACCCTTTTTCATAAGAAGGTATAGAGACGCCCCCTAGTGGTAGTTTGGGTGAACTAACATGAAAGCGTTACATCACTGAGCAGTCTTCAGTTACCTAACTGACTTTCAGGACAATGAAAGAAGGACTTCAGCACAATAACTTAAATTATTCTATATGGTCGTGAGAAGTAAACATATCTTTGTTTGTCCTCACTACTAAAAAAAACCCGTTTTGATTTGATATACAGCCTTTAATGAGAGAGAGAGGGGTTGTATAACAAGCTCAGTTAATTAACAATGGGTAGATTTACTAAGCATTTATCACAAAGGCCTGTATGCATAATGAAGCATTGACTGTTTTGCTAAATGTAAATACTACTATAAGTTAATCTTATTCACACTACAGTCTTCTTCTATAGAATCTTCTTCTTTTATAGGCTTCTTCAATATTCTGTCACATTCACACACACACAGCCTGGGAGCAGGGTGTGTTGTTACATGTCGTTTGATGACCAAACTAATATTACACACTTTTGGGATTATTCACAATAGCCTAAGCATAAACGTTACAGTCAATAAATCAACACAAATGTAAAACATTTCCTAAAAGTAGCCCATGAGGCATGTCTGTTCTTATACTGAGTAAAAAAATGTTTGTACTCACCACCATCATGCTAGAATTCCTCACAGCCAAAACATTTCGACACAAGGCGCCACCGACCACCGACATCTTCCTAAGTTATAGAGTTAGAGACTAGAGACAGTACACTACAGGACAGACAGGGCAGCTCACTTTTGTATCGTCTACTAGAGGGCAGCAGTGTTACATCATTGAATGAATCATAAACATTACACGATTTAACCACTAGAGGGCAG